AACCCCTGTGTATTCTCGGAGGTGTGTCCAAACCCCACTGGCTACACCAGGTGTCAGTATCAAACTCAGAACATTCATTGGTTTGACCACAGCATCCCAGAATTCCCACTCCTTCCTGGTCAAACCACCACACATGGTCTTGTATTTGATAAAAAATTAGACGGATTTTTTCCTAACTGCTACATGAGGCTAATGGCTTCACCAGCAAAGAGGCAGGCACAGCTTGCTGATGCTGCTCCAGTGGGAGACTGAAAAATATGTTCCAGAACAACTTAAAAATGGCTTTCAGATCTCCAGCCACTGACCCAACCTAATTCCCCAATTTGTTCTTGGACTCTTACATGTTTTGGGGTGTCTGACACTTTTGTGTAGGTGTGCTTTGCCATTGTAATTTCGTTCTTTGGTCTCACCAATATGTTTGCACCATTTCTGTATTTTGGTTTTCTGGGCAGTGAAAGGAACAGTCTCAGTTCCCTCCAGGTATTTACTTTTCTTTTATAGAGACTGTAGAGTGACAGTCACAGGAGCAGAGATCAGGCAGCAACCTCAGGCAGCAGTCAGCTCTGAGCAAAAATACTTGGAAAGCCTGTAAAATTTTGGAGTGTTTTGTTCTGTTTCACATGCGTCACACGACAGTGTCATCATCACAGATTTAAAAAGCAAAAGATTTATCCTTTCAGCTTTGAACAGCCAGCAAACTCTCAAGAATAAAAGGTGGGGGAACATGGAATTCATGGTGGCATACAGGCCATGAGAGCCATTTCTTAACCTCTCAGCAGGGGACTGGAGAAGTGCACATTCTACACATACACATAAAATTAAATACCACCTATGTTAACATTTGGAGCTGGAACAGGAATTGGAGGGGGAGCTGGCTCATGGACAAGAGAAAGCAATGAGGAGCCTGAAAATAACATTCAGGTTTTGGATAACATTTTCAAACTTTGTTCTGACCCTGAATGCCAGGCTGTGAGCGCAAGGAGCCTTCCCACAGAGGGAGCTCTCCTTGCTTTGACAAAAGGGTGAGGCTGTCACTAGAAGAACAATTGAGCAAGGTCTGGTAACTGTACCCACTGAAATCCTAAGTTGTATCAGAGAACCCAAAGATCTTTCTATCTGTTGATGAGCCCAATCATGATCATTTTTAATGGCCAGAAAGCAGAAAGTACAGAAGGATCTAAAGCAGCACCTCGCCCTCTCCATCAGTTATGATTATCAAAACAGAAATAGGGCTTGGGTTGAGTACAGGCACAGAAGTTCTATTTTCAGGAGGAGACAATACCAAATGCTCTTTCAGAGAAAACAGAAAGTTGAAAGGAAACTTTCAGGTTGAGACCCCTGTGGCAACACAGGAGTGGCTCCTGACGTGATCCACGTGGCCACATAGTGCAAGCAGCTGGCTGAGCTCTAAGTTTTGCATTTTTAAGGCAAGACACAGCTCTGGATGGGGAAATGGAAAATTGTAAAATGCAGTTCCACTTCAGCTGTTACTGCAGACTTTCCTTCAAGTTTACATTATAAATGCAGTACTTAATAAGAATTGGAATTTTAAAAAGAACAAAATAAGATGGCTCTCATATGGGGAGTAATGCATGTTTATACTTTAGGAGCAGGAAAACCTCCATGAAATTATGCTGGGAAAATAATAACAAACATTGTTTGTGTATGGTCCCTGCACTGCAGCAGCACTTCAGCACTTAAAAACTCCCTTTCTTCAGGGGTATGTATTCTTGAGTCTGGCCCACAGAAATAACAACTACCTGCTCAAATGTCTTAAACCATACATTTCCTGAGGGGAAAAGATTATATCAGCTGAAAACCTACGTGTTATAGTCATTTAAAATACTCTGTTAAGCTACAGTCATTTGAAGAGTTCACTGAAGGATATTAGGATATTAAACATGAAAAGCATTGCACTGTATTGTTTAACTGAATCTGTGTTTTCATCTTGTGTACTTGGAATGCTGGTTTGCAGAATGGAACATATGTTCATGTGGGTTTTTATGCCACATGTGGATTATTTTTTTAAATAAATGAAATTATATAACAACAATCCCACACATATACTTGGTTGCAACATTTCAAGGGCTGGTTAAAATTCTCTTAGAATGCACTCTGGCTTCTTTATTTCATGGTCAGAGAATATTACACTCTACCATTTATACTCAACTTCATTTTAAGATTAATCTAGTTAATTTAGCTTTAAAGTAGCATTATATATATTTGTATTATAGTTTGTGGAAACCTGAGGTTGTAGAAATAAGTTTTTAATAATCATTCCAGTGTAACTGTTAGGGAACCTTACATTGCAGATCCTCAGTTTCCCACAAAGTTCATCAGCCACTCTTCATAAATGCCTCACTTTGGTGTTTTGCAGTCACGTATACAACTCTCTCCTTTGCATTAACACAGTTCTATATATTATTTTATTTTGCAGTTCTTTCCATATGGAGATGCTTCTAAGTTTGCCCAGCACGCCTTCCGAACCTTTGATAAAAATGGAGATGGGACCATCGACTTCAGAGAGTTCATTTGTGCCCTGTCCATCACCTCACGAGGCAGTTTTGAGCAAAAGCTGAACTGGGCCTTCAACATGTACGACTTGGATGGTGATGGTAAAATTACAAGAGTGGAAATGCTGGAAATTATAGAGGTGAGATCAATATGACACTCATGAACGTCACAATGTTAATAAAATTTGATTCCTTGTTCACACAGACTTTAGATTTTAGGCTCACCAGAGGCTGTAGGGTACATTAAATGCACATTACATATTAATCCTGCACTCACTGGTGCCCAAGCACACTCACGTGTTTGTTAATAGACGCAATCTTGGAGAATTGCAGAGAGTGCATATGTGCATATAAGCTTTTAAATATCCAAAGATTTTTTTTCCCCTGATGAATGGATTAATCACAAGAACAGCACAGGATTTACAAAGCCCATCTCAGTCACTTGACACCCATGCAATTATTGCACTGCAGCCCAAGTAGCTGAAGCCTTACTGGAGATTAACTTCAGATGATTACAGAAATTTACAGGGATAACAACACGCTATTTTAAGTGAGCTCTCACAGATGGGCTTTAAGATGACCACAACTTGTAAGAGGAAGGATAAAGTTTACCACCTTCGTCATCTGCCACAGTAGTTAATACCAGATTGTCCCCACATGTACACACAGAGACCTATTTAAGGGTGGCGACTTCTAAAACAAATTATTCAGAATTTATGTGAAATATTTCATCTGAACAATTGATACAGAGAGTAAGTTACAAGAGTTTTACATTGTGAAACAGGAAGCCAAAGAAATTCATTCTGGGATGCAAACTGTAACCACCAAAATAAACCTACATCTAAAGAAAGTAAAATATATCCTTCCTTGTTTTGCGTATCTGGCCTTTGGATCCTTATAAAGAAAAGCAAAAAAACCCCTAAAACCAATCTTTAGAGAAACTTGCAATCATTTTATTGTTAGAACATATTTCCAGAATTTGATCACATCCAAAAATTAGATTGAATTTCATGTTGAATTTTCCATTTGGTTTTTTTCCAAAGGCCATCTACAAAATGGTGGGCACTGTGATAATGATGAAAATGAATGAGGATGGCCTGACGCCTGAGCAACGGGTAGACAAGATCTTCAGTAAGATGGATAAGAACAAAGACGATCAGATCACACTGGATGAGTTCAAAGAAGCTGCAAAGAGTGATCCGTCCATTGTATTACTCCTGCAGTGTGACATTCAAAAATGAGCTCGTGTACGACGCGTCATAGACTGCACAGAAGTTTAATGTTCCATTCAGTTTGCAGCTATTTCCACACACACAAAATTTTGCTTGGACTACCTATAAATGGACTTGCTTCTTGTGTTTGAAACACTTGTGTGCATGAGAATGTCATTTGCTAAAGAATTTTAAAAGTATATATTATAAAAATAAACTGCCACAACGTGATGTGTGCAATGTCATTTCATAACAACCCTCTTTCCTCTGAATCTTGTGCAGCAGGCCTGTGCTGCAGTGAATTATATTATTTATTGTTCATGTTTTACTGATGCTAGCTCTGTGTCTCCTAGACTGAGTAATGTTAGTGACACTGAATTCCCATGGCAATGTTAACTGTTTATTATAAATCATGTCACCATTCTGCTGTAAAGTAGTACTGGACAGACAGAAGGGAAGAGCTTCTCGGCTCCCAGGTCTGGTCCACACGTGCTTGTATTGTCAGTGGATATAAATGTACTTCATTTGCATGCCTTTTAGGTTTGCCTTAATTCTTACCTCATTTGCATCCCTTCAATATGGAAAGAGCTATGTCAGAGGAATGCAGTATATTAAAAAAAAAAAAAAAGAAAATCCTGCTAAAATTAACCCTTTAATTAAGAATATATATAAATATATATATATATAATGTTTAAAATATTGTTTTATTGCAAGTTTAAAGGTTTTATTGGAAGTGTATTGATCTTTGCCAGAATTTTCAAAAGCTTCCACAGAGGTTGCAATATATATGTCCCAAAATAAATTTATAACATTTGACCTTTTCCCCTAATTCTTATTTCATGTCTTCAGCATGGTAATAAAAAAAGAAAAAGTTCAATCTCTTTAATTATCTGTCACTGCACACTGGGAAATATGTATTTCATTATTGAAGCATGAAGAAAACTACTTTACACTCACTCACTAGAAGAGTCATATTATACAAAACCAAAACTTGTAGTTCTTGTATTTAAGGCTGGAGCAGCTGTTGATGCTCTAAGATGCTACTGCTAAGATTTACCAGCGCAGCTACTAAACCTGTGCTGATTTTTAAGCGGTGTAAGTGAAATACAGTTTATTTGCTCACCCTAAACCTTGTTTTTAATATTTTTTCCTTCCTGAAGTAAGAGACTTTCCTCTTACCATCTGATACTAAACTACTCTGTGTTTAATATAAACAGACATGATGTTAAAAATCACTACTGATAAATTAACCATGAAGTATGATGATAAAGGAGTGATAGTGAGACGAACCAACTTCCTCTTCCAATTCTGTGTGCACAAATCAAGTTTCTCTCTATCCTGTGACAAACTCTGCACAGCCTTGGGAAAGAATGAACTACCAGACTGCAGAAACTGCAAATGAAAAAACTCTATATGCCCCATTTCCCTGATGCTTTAAACAGTTGGTTGCTTGCTGGATTAAAAGAAAAAAAAAGCAATCTGAACACCTTATAATTGCATGTTTGATATTTCTTCCTTACCTTATGAAGAAACAGGACCTTACTTTTAATAGCTAAAAATTAAACAATAAAACATGGCACAAACCAAATAATTCTCTGTATTTCAAATTTAAAAAGCAAAGCTTATCTTAAAGGGAAAAGGAAACAAGCAACAAAAAGCAGTGTTACACAACTTGCTAAGAGTTGTTGTGGGGGGATCACAGAATTGATGGCTGCCACAACCACAGCCATACTGTCATTTTTGGGTTGCTTTGTATTCCAAACAGCAAAAGCACAAATGTCAACTACAATTTTTACACTAGAATTTTACTACAGACTACACATATAATAGTCTTAGCAAATTAGGGAGAAGTACACTTCATGCGTTTGGCCATAACTTAAAATACACATTCTAGAAACTACATGTTTCTGAGAATTATATGCTCACATTGAATACTTCTCAGATTTTATTCCTCTAGTTTACATACATGAGAAGCAATTTCTCATTCTGTTTCCCTGCACATTGAATTTATGTAGCTAGACAGGCTCCATTTACTTTAGTGCAGCATTAAGATGCACTGCCATTTAAAATGGCCAACAACTCATAAACACAGTCAAACTCAAAAATGTAACATCAGCACTGCAATCTTCTCTCTAGGTAGCCACTATAGTAAACTATGTATTTAAAAAACCAAGAATATGATAGGTTGGAGACCTTAGTAGGATCACTGCAAAAATAAGTGCGTCCATGCAAGGGCTTCAGTAATTGTTTATTCAGAATTCATTCTCTACCATGAAAATATGCTTATAATAATTATACAGTCAAGAACACATCTTCATCAAGTACAGGGGTAGAGTAGAATAAATACAAAGTACTGATTTGAAAGAAAGACCAGAATTGTTGCCAGCTCCTCCAATATTTCAAGTAAGTCTATAAAAGCTTGGGAGAAAGCTGGTGTTAGCTCTGTAGGAATTAATTAATTTTCCTTAATCTCTTTTTTCCACACAACTCATTATAGAAGACTAATGAAGATAAATGCTTTACTCTTTCCTGCCTCTGCACTTTTGCCTTTTTTTTTTTTTGGATACTGAAGAGAATCAGGAGGAAATAATGCAATGCCATTTATCTCATACAGTAAAAAGGTCTGAAACCTACCCCAATTGAATCATAAAATCAAGTCAAGCTCCACATGTGGCTCATGATCATGTCCTAGAATCAAAGAATTGCTTGGGTTGAAAGGGACCTTAAAGATTATTCAGTTCCAACTCCCTGCAGGCACATCTTGCACTAAAAGAGGTTGCTCAGGGCCCCATCCAGCCTGATCTTGAGCACTTCTAGAGATGGGGTGTGCACAACTACTTGGAATAACCTATTCCAGTGCCTTATCACCCTCACAATAATTTATTCTTAATATCTAATCTAAATCTACTATCTTTCACTTTAAAGCCACTCTCCCTTGTCCTGCACAACAGGCCCTTGTAAAAAGTCCTTCTCCAGTTCTCTTATAGCCCCTTTAAGCACTGGAAGGTGCCACGATGTCTTTCTGGAGCCGTCTCTGGACTTCATAGATGAAAATCTCATTTGTCTCCATAGCAGAGGTTCTCCAGCCCTCTGAGCATCTTTGTGGCCTCCTCTGATCCTGCTCTAACAGGTCCGTGCTCTTCCAATGCCGAGGACCCCAGACCTGGGGGCAGTACTCCAGGATGTCACAACAGCAGAGTAGTAGAATCACCTCCCTCAACCTGCTGGTTCCAGACAAGTTTTGCCAAGCATGCACTTCACGTAGTCCTAAAGGTGTAAGTACCTTGAATTATGGAATTATAGAATTGTTCATATGGGCAAGGACCTTCATAGATCTCTTTCCCAGCTCCCTGCTTGAAGGAGATACAGGAGTCTATTCAATAGACTCCAAAAACTTCCAAGGACAGAGATTTCACAGCCTGCTTGTGTAACATGCTCAAATGCCTCTTACCTTCATCAGGAACAATCCCTCCTGGTTTGCTCAGCCAGAACCTCCCCACTTCAATCCATGGCTGCTGTCTCCTGCAGCATGCACATTAACAAAGCCTGGTCCTGTTTGTCAGTAACCTCCTCACAGTGCCCAGTGCCGGGAGTCTGCCCATTACCCTGGGCTGTCTGAAGTCTGCCAGGAGAGGCAAACAGCCTCAGGGCCTGGTGAAAAGAGCACAAAAAGCTCCCTTCAGCCCCAGCTGTATCTGTGTAACAGTGGAAGCTTCCCCAGTTATGGATGACTCCGTGTAGAGCTTGCTCCCCTGCAGCTGGTGGATCACTGAAGCTGTGCCAGAGGCCTCTGGACAGCAGGCAGTGCTGAGGGCAGAGGTGGCTGTGCAGGTCACAGGGGTGCCTGATGCCTCTCTGAGAGGCTGGGGCTGACAAAAAGTTATTTTGGAGAGGGTGTGCTGTGCTTGAGGAGCTGTTGCCAGGTGGAGGGGCTTCAGGAGGAAGTGAACAGGCTATGTGGCGTTTCAGTGAGCAAGCAGCAGGTAAGTTATTTACAGAGATGCCACAGTATCAAGACTCCCAGGAGTCTCAAACCTCCATTGTAGTGGAGAAGCAGGTGGACTCAGAACCCTGCAGGGTAATTAGTCAAGGGTGTTTTATTCAAGGGTCTGCTCAAGATGAAGGCTGGAAGCAGGTCACTCCACATACTGGGAGGAGGTTCCTCCTCCTCCTGAAAACAAGTAGGATTGGAACCTTCTACAACAGGTATGAGCTCTGGAACAAGGCCAGACAATGAGGTAGGCGAAGGTTCTACTGGGACAGAGGGGCCTCCTGAAGCAACATCTCCTGTACCCTGCATCAAGACCTCCTCTGATAACAGCAAAAGAAGGGCAGCAGTAATAGGAAACTCCCTCTGAGGGAGGTGAGGGAGGGCCTGACATGCATACCAGACCCAACTTATGGTGAATTCTGCTGGCTCCCAGGGGCATGGATAAGAGAAATTACTGGAAAACTCTCCAGTCTAGTAAGGCCCTCTGGTCACTATCCACTATTGGTCATTCAAGCCAGCAGTGACAAAAAAAAAAGAGAATTCTAAGGACAATCAAAAGAGACTTCAGGGCTTGAATTGAAGGCTGAAGGATCAGAAGCACACGTAGTTTCCATAATCCTTTTGTTAACAAGGAATAAGATTTGACAGCAATAGGCAGATCCACCAGGTCAACACACGGCTCCAAGGCTGGTGTAAGCAAAAAAATTTGGTTTTTTACCATGGGACGATCTATTGAACACCTGCTCTACTGACACCTGATGAGATGTACCTATCTCAGGGAGGGGAAAAGCTCTAGCACAGGAACCAGCAGGGCTCATTGACAGAAATTTAAACCAGCTTGGAAGGAGGACAGACAAAACCAGGCTTGCCAGTGGGGAGTAATGGAATGGAGTGGTTTCTCAGTAAGAACTTGAGAAAACTACTGGGATCCCTCCACCTCCTTCAGGTTTGTTGGCTAGAAAGCACCACAGCTGAAATGTTTCTATGCTAATGCACACAGCATGAGGAACAAGACCATCTCAAGCCTTTGGCCCAATCCCAGACATCTGGTATCACTGGCATCCCTGAAACTGTGGGCTTAGTCCTGTGACTGGAGTGCCCTGTTGCATGGTTACAGGCTCTTCAGGAGGGATGGGCAGGGCAGCAGTGGCCAGGGTGGCACTGTAAGTCAGGGATGGAGCCTACAGTTGGAAATGGCACAGCTGAAAGCCTCTAAGTAAGAATCAAGGGACATACAAATAATGCAGTGTCATCTTGGAAGTCTCCTATAGACCTCTGGGCCAGGATGATGACACTGAGGAATGCTCTCTGAGGAACTAAGGACACTTCCAGCTCAACTGCCCTTCCCCTTATGCAGGACTTCAACTTGCCAGAAGTCAGCTGGTGGGTGCCTTACAAATCAGCATTTTTTATGGATCCATGATTCTCTAAGGTGGATTTCCTACCTAGCTTCCATATTTTAAAGAAACCTACAAGTTTAATACTGTACTGTGACTGAAAACAAATTACGCTACCAAGTCAAGTCAAAACTTACACTGTAATAAGGTTTTATTGAGGAACTGCTATTTAGTAAAAAGTGCAGAAACTGTTGAATGTTGTTCTCTGAGTAGTCTCAATGGCTCCTGTAACCATGTAACATCAAAAACAACAAACAATCCCCAAAAACAACAACAAAAAAGAAATGCAGCTGAACTCTAAAAACTGGGGGTTTTTTGAAGAGTTGCCAAAAATTTCAAGTTCCTGGAGAAAAAAAAAGAAAAGGACAAGAAAAACAGGTTAATTTGAATGAGTTTGAAAAATCTGCTTCTTCTTTCTCCCTCTTATCCCCAGTAAATGCTTGCAATATCTAAACAAATCAAGTTTAAGTACTCTGGTCCCAGGGAAATGTGGAAGGGGAGAGAGAGAGGGCACGCAGACCCAACAAAACACAGCTCTACAATGCTGTAGAAAAGTCAAAGTATTACTTCCCAAAATTCTTATTCTACTTCATTCCTATATATTGGAAAGACTGTGTCTCTGTAGTTTATTATAATAAAATTAATATTTAGAGACTTATTCTGTACCTGGAAACTCAAGAGTGTGTAAGAACCAGTTCACTGGAATTAAGAATCTAGTTTATAAAGACACAGCTTGCTGGGGTTTAGAAGCTCATGTCCAAAGACACTCAAACCCATTAAGAAAGGAATGAGAGAACTATTTTCCCACCAAGATAATATACTACATATAAAATTTTCCCTTTTCTCTTTATGAAAGTGTAATTTCTAATAGTTGCTCATATTCAGCTACTGTGGGTGGTTTCACTGGAAAATAAATGAAACACATTTTTCTGCATATATTACTGCACATTTAAGAAATAAAGCACAGCTAGGAAGAAAACAGTATTTGTAACTTAATGCTGATTTTAAGTGTGTAGAGACACTAAAACATTACCACAAGTAATAGTTCAAACACTTTATTAAAATATTATTTATAGTTATACAAAATATATTTCAATATTTTCAGAAGAAAAATCAGAGCAACAGATAAAAAATTCTACAACTGGTAGCCAAAAATATCAACAGAACATTCAAAATTTTCTCCTTATCCAAACTGTGCTTATTCTTCTCCTGTGTACACACAGTAATCCTTTAAAAAATAATTAATAACAATACAGAAATATCTTCCTGAGAGTATCTAACAATTTAACATCTTTTTCAGAATCAGGAAACAATACTTTTACATATATTATGACACATTTGTCCCCAATATAATACCATATTCATACAGAGATACTTATTGATCTTCATCTCTGTTATTCCTATTTTGGAAAGTCAGTGCTCTTTGGTCTCTTGGAGGGTCTGGCATACGGAGGATGTGAATATGGGGACTCGTAGGCAGAGAACTAAAAATAAAGGATGCATCATTTAAACAGTGTTTCTTCTCCAAGAATTTCAGTACTTCCATTTGATTCTTTAAATTACGTATTTTCCTTTAAATAACTCCACCTTTTTTCTTTGTCAGTTTTAAAAAACAGTAACATAAGGTGAAGCTTAGGCTTCACTGAACTGATCCTGGGCCTGAGTTGAATAAAACCTTCAGGTAAAGACAAGCACTCATTTCAATCATGTGATTTCTAACAATTAAGACTGCCTTAACTAGAGAAAAGCTTCTTTTACCAAAACCTCCAAATGAACAAATGATGGAATACAAGTAAGGATTTGCCTTACAGATACTGAAGTAACACACAGTATACACACATGTAATCAATCCCAACATACCAAGAATTAACTAATTTACCAAACATGATTGTCCTAAATGGATTTTTCTTGAAGTTGCCCCCATATTTTTCTTAAATTTAACGTCTGCTGAACATGAAACATGGAACAATGTAAGAAATTCAAAGTGAACCTGAATTACTAATTTTTTTAACGGTAATTATACAAAAAAATCCTGCGTTGCTTACTAGTTTTAGAAAATCTCCACAAAAGCATTTCCACTGAAATAACAACAGATACCACTACTCTGCTTTTTATATACTTTAGTGAGGGAAGACAATTAGGAATAAATCAACTTCTTTTTGAAGACTGCTTTAATTACCCTCCCAGGCTTCACTAATTACACTGGGTTAACAGAGAGGAGCTGGCTGCACCAGGTTAGAGACACGACTGTCCCCTTAAACTGGGAATGGCTCTACCTTTATACAGAGGTTTTGAAAGAATTCTGAACCACTAGATGACAAATTTAAAAGATGGTGTAAGCTATGACTCTCTAGAGATCAGCAACATTAAAACCCAGAAAATGAAATCAACTCAAATGACAAACCCCTTTAAAGTAGTATAGCACTAACTGAAAAATTCCTTCTTTTGCTATTTTTGGGACAGGAGAGGGACATACAAAGCTAGGCTAAGAAGAGCCTGTTTGACAAAATAAAACATTTCTAAAAGTTGTTATTTCAGATAAACTGTTCCAAGTCCCAATGAATTACCATTATGTTAAAAAAAACCCTTTAAATTCACAGAACTGCTTCAATTTTTATGTTCTACTGTGACAAACAACAAAATTTCTTTCTCCTCACATTCAATTTTTTCAGCTTACACTCCCTGCAATTCTTCTATCCTGAGATAAACCACAAGAGTATTACCTCATGCTCAGGGGGGTGAACAAAATGAACTGTCGATAGGGCTGAAAATCAGCCCTCTCCAGAATCATGTCGATGGCAATTCTTCTGTTAACCATATCCTAAAGACAAAAGATTTGTCAGGTAGTGGTACTGACAGTAAAAAATACATTAGAAAGCACGATTCTAGAAAACCTACCAGAATTAACTGCTATACAGTCAAGGCTAGCTAAAGAAAATATCTAACTAAGACTAATAAAAGCTAAGAAAACCTGGAGAAACATTAGGGTAAAAATCCATAAGCCTGGGAAATTCTTAGACTGTACTTTTTAGCATACATGGGCAATGAAAAGCTTCTATTAGAAACATCACACATTCATCTAATTACAGTGTTTTTCTATCGTCTTTGATGTACATACATACTTTGATGTACTTCTTACTTTATTGGTATGCTGAGATGAACTGTACTTTAGCTGAATAATATTTCCTGTAAAATCCTGCCTGAAAAATCAGCTGAAAGGATTTAAGGGTTCCATGAAACCTATGATATTATGGAGCTTGTTTTTATTAGGACTATTATTGTTAATATCACTATTACTATTTTGAATGGAACCTTATGCATTAGGCTTACTGAAAAGGATGAACAATAGGAAGCTGTTACTAGGAGGGACCAACCACGCTCTACTGCTGTGCCCTGCTGCTCAAGAAAGCAGAGATCTCCCACGAAAACACACCATGGAGTCCTCATGTGGTAGGCCCTCTGTGACTACACCAAAACCACAGAACGTGTGGACAGTAGGGCTGCATTACTGGCACTGGGGTGCAAAGACAAATTGTTGGAATAATTTATGGAATAGATGACATGCAAGCCCTTTGCAAGGCCTACAGTTCTGAGAATCCATCCTTTTCTGAAAAGATGGGCAAACTTCTCCACAACTAACTTTTACAAGAGGATCTAAGATTTGAAAGTTGTCTGAAAAATGATGTTTCACTATCTTAGACGCATACCGTCCTTTTTAAAATTCTTTAATAGAAACTCTATTATCTTTGTTCCCTCTAAGTGATTCCTAGTAAATAAATGACTGATGAGGAAGGGACACAGACAAAATTAAATAAGGCAGTATCAAATCTTTGTCTCACAGAAGTAAATATTTTCTCAAACTCATACCACCTTGCATATTTAATAAATAGGAAATAAATCTTAAAAAAAAGGAAGTAAATTTCAAAATGGGTTAGTGGCCTGTCCACAGAAGTTGTGCACAAAAATAAGATTTATCAGTTTTATCAACATTAGTATTTATTGTTCATTATTCTGCATTCCAACATCTTGGAAAAATTCTCCTAGCTGAAGTATGAGTTTCTATAAAATGAGTAGCAACAGTGAACCCAATTGCTAAATTTGCTCTGAAAAAACCCACACTGACCTCAAAATTGGCAGAAATCAAAGCACATGTCAAGCCCAGAATGTCCCAGCAACCTGCAGAGTCAACCTCTGACAAATGCAGTACCAGCTGATTTATTATTTTTGTGCTGAACGATGGTTTGAGCACGTAAATTAACAGAAAGGCTCATATTTCTGGATATCAACTTCAGAAACACAACAAGCTTCAAAACTCACCAAACAAAGTATACAAGATCACTAACAGATTTTGTTTTGGGGGATTTTGATTTTGGTAGGGGAGCTTTTTATAATTTGCAGTCAACCATAGTGGTTTTAAATTTAATCAAATACAAGTAACAACACAACTATTTTACTAATTTACACAAATCTGAATGGAAGATATAGTTTAAGTTTAAACTATATACCATGTAGACATCAAATTCATCCATGCATCTGAAAGGAGATTCAGAAATGTTCCACAGAGAAAGAATAAAACAAACTGTGGAGAAGGAACGTTCACCTCCTGATAAGGATCTCAGATCACTACGGGCAGCTCTTTCTTCCTCTCGAGGCTGAACCTTGAAATAAAAATATTGGAACAGTTTTTAAATCTGAGATGATGACATACTAACACAATCATAATTTTAACAGCAAACACATTATACACGAACAGAGATCACTTCAAAACACTTTGCATTTCACTGCAACTGCCATTCTAGAATGGAATGGCCCCTAACCATTCAGTAACAAATTTCTAAGATCACTAAAATTTCTTCAATCACAGTCATAAACACTGAACAGATTAAATGACTTGCCAGAGTTTGTTATTCAAATCTCTATTTCTAATAGCTGTTACACGGTGTTTAATAAATGTCAACAAATAAATGTTTACATAAGAGTAAAATCCCATGGTTACCAGGAACAATAAAAGAGTAGGTAATTGATTTACAGAAGAATTTTAAATGAGGAAGGGATTCTTTACATGGAATACATGAAACATTGTGAACAGCCATTTGGTTACATTGATTATAATGACATCTTGTGGTGCTCCTTCTGTAAGATGAAACTTGGGCATTTTCTTGCCCTGCAAACTGCATTGCCTTTAACAAGTTAAGCAGGCAAATAAGGATTCTTTTGAAGTGGAATCTTTCTTTGCAGGGAATTGTTTTCTTTTTGCAACTTATATTCCTTGACTAAATGCAGATCTCTTTTGTGAGATATGTGAGACATCAGCTATTGAAAAAATATATTCTGATAAAGCCAAGTAAAGACTTCACATTTTATGGCCTGAGTTTAGTTCTTCAGATACATGTGCTTCACCTGTCTAATTAGGACTGTGACATATATTTATGTTGTCACTGCACATTTTTCCCCTTAATCCCTAAAACTGAAGTCTGCCACAGAAACAAAAGTAAATAAATCCATGATAAAACTTTTTGCGATGTACGTTAAAATATACACAGAAAAAAACCCACCAAAGTTTACCTTCATTAAGTTGTTTAAATAACAACCAGAGCCATTAAGGACCACACAAATACTGCTGAACTTCCTATCAATGATCCAGGAATGAGTTATTTTGAAAGACTGGATGACCAATTCACATTTATTACTTGTCATCTAGCAACCATTTAAAATAGCAATGTTTTCTGTCCTTGCTTGTTTTCAATAACATCCTACTGTTACTAAATGGGACTAAAGAAACTTATTCGACACCTATTTGTTGTGATTAAGCAGACACTTCTTCATTGAGGCTTTTGGAAACTCCTCCAACATGTGTCCCACTCCACAGACAAAATCCAGGCATTTTTGCATACTTTTTCTGCTGAATCATTGTTACATAAGTTCTTTTACATATTACGCATACATAATATGCCCACTCTTAAGTTTAACCTTTGCAATGACTGGTTTTGTTAGTTACATAACTTCGTCAGCATTCTTGTCCTAAAACAATCATTGGTCATCTCTACTGAGGCCTACTGATTGGAATATTCAAACCAAGATGGGTAGGGTAGGGGGTTTCCAAGCAGCATAACTGGTATGCATGACAATCTCCATAGTTTCCTAACCAGAACATTAAATTCCAGCAATTTCTTGCTGCATATTTCAAGCACAAAACTCCTAACATTTCTACACCTTATACTTCACAATTTTCTACTTGTAATCATAACTACCTCTTTTATATGATTAAATTGATTACTTGATCAGAATATGTATAACATTACCACTTAGTGTATCACCTTTTGCAAAGGGAAAAACAATTTATGCTATCATTTGCAATGCATTTGTAGTATCTGAGACTAAAATAGATAATAATTCATTATATATTATAGTAACTGAAGAAATATAAAATAACTTACTGTTATGGAAAGTGTCTCATTCTTGTGATCAAACTTTATATGTCCAGAGCAACCTCGAACACGTAATAAATGCTCAAAGTGGAGTCTGCATCGCATAGAAAGAGTCCTTAAATCAAGCAAACAAACATTAGGGGAGCAAGTTTTTAAATACATGAAAAGTGATTTTCATGCACAACAGATTTTCATCAACAGTTCCACATCATTAAGTATTAAGCCCTCCTCCAATAACAGTATTCCCCCAAAAATCAACTGCAGTCTCAAGCGGGCAACATTAGACATACTGGAGAGAATCCTTTTGAAGAAAGGAAACAACAAAAACCTTCATGGATAGGCATAAGATATTAAGGGACTGAAGCAAAAAAGAAGGGATGTACACAGATTAATGGAGAAAAAACTGTCGAATTATAGAATCTGAATCAAGAGCTTCAAAATTTTCAGCACAGAGCAGAGGAGAATCATTTGGCCTAAAATGAAATTACAGGAGCTCAGCACTACTGATTATAATCAATAAAAATGACTGACAGCCCAGACTATTACAAGTCCTAAGATGTTGTTAACATTTTACTGATCACAACCAGCATTCAAACAGAACTGCCTTGGATGAAGTCATCACAGTTGAGGTCTTTGGGATGAAACAAAATACAGGCTCCACTATCTCACTGCTTTTCCAGCTGTCAGTCCAGGCTGCCTCTAAACTCTCAGGCATAATAAGCTTGAAAGTGGTAGCAATCACAGGTTAAAAAGATTGTTGTGAACACTGTCTCAAACTCACTTTAAGAACTGCCGATACATTTTGAGCCTCTCTACCATCACTGCATCCAGCAACCCAATAAATCTCCGTAAGTTCTTTACTGTATTGCTTGCATCTTCGTACCTTTCCTTTGCATGCTGAAACTGCCTGTCAGAAGCAAGGTTTGGAGCATTAAAACTGAGCAATTGTTTTAAATGCTGAAAATAATTTTGATAACCAAAATATTCAAATGTAAACTTTCTTGTGATAATTTATGTGAAAGTTAAATGCATGTGATAAGTAAGACAATGTTCACAATGAAATGTGGACAAAAATTAAATCTTAATTCCATTTTTAATTCTTCTGAAAATAAATTCTTTTACCAGGGAGAATGAATGACTGGTTTCTCCACGGTCAAGAATATCTGAGGGGAGTGCTTCCTTGAAATACACTCAAGGAGCTTCCCAGCTTGTGCATTAGTTAATCAAACTACAATTATGCTTAATCCTCAATGCATCACAAAACAATGTGGTGAGTTAAATTCGTGTTGTTGTAACCGGGATACTTCAAAACATTAAGAGAATGTCTGATTACTGGTAACATCATATATGTAGCACACATGCTTCTGAAAAACCACTGGAAGGTGTTTCAGGACTCTTAAGCCTGTTCAGTACTGGGAGAAGGAGTACAAAACGTTTCTACAGCTTCATAGATAGCTTAAGGAGTAAAACAACACATAAACACATAGTGAGTCAGTAAGAAAACTCTTCTTTCCCCTCTCTTTTCCATCCCACCTGAACTGTTTTAGACAGTAAAGATGACTTACTGGATTATTTCTTCTCTGTTTCCATGGCGACTGCTTTCTAAATTTATCTTCTCTCTCAAGCGATTCATTTCTGCATCAAGACTTTTAACAGTTCTGCTGACCCTGATGGGCTCTGAGAAGATTTGCCTTGCTTTTGCTGTTTTTTCCTAAAGGAATGTTTGAAACTCAAACAATTGTCACATTTTTCAAAAATCTGTTTACTCTTCCCAATAAGTATTTTATGCTACAAACTCCAAGCAAGAACAGTATTTTTGTGTTCCTTCTGTTTTCATTACAGCAAACCCAGTTAACAATTTTATTGACAACATTTATACATGAGTAGTTATTTCAGTGCCAAGAACTGTATCCAAGATTTTTAATACAATCACAGTTATTTAACTAATGCAGACAAATAAGGAACCAAAATCACCATATTTAAATAGGGCAGTCTTCCAAAAGTCTTTATGGATGTGATTTCAGAGTTATTTAATAAGGCTCGATTAGGTAAGTCTTCAAAAGACCAGATATGGGGCCTGTACAAGGAAAACCCTACCACCAAAGAAACCAAAACAGTATTATTCAATTTAACTTAAGCCACAAATTTTAAGTAATTTTAATCTTCTCATTGCAAAACATGGAAGAAATGTTCCTAGATGGATGAACTCTAATTTATCTGTCAAGAGAGAACTGGTGTCCTATCAGAAAAAAAGAGGTCTCAATTCACTTACACAAAATTCCTTTACTTGCTTTAGATAGTCAGTGTAGGACATAGCTGAGAGAATACTCAGTGCAGCTGAGTATATTAATATGGTCTGTATGTTATACAAGTAGAATGATTTATGATTAAATATTAGAAGAATCATGACCATCTGACTTCAATAGCTAAAAAAAACCCCACCACACATACCTCTAATTCCTTTTCTTTGGAAACTAGTAAATTTTTGTGCTTATTTATGCAAGCCACGTGTTCTCTCTGTTTCTCCTCATAGTGCTGCAAATGGCGTTTACTGTTTTCCACTTCTGACTCAGCCTGGTTTAATTCAGCCTGTTTGGAACAAATCATGATGTGAGCTGTTTGGAGTAGATTCCTGAGAATCTCTCTAGTGTTTACTGGCTTCTCAGAGGTTGTTCTAACTTATTTTGGTTTCAGTAACACTGCTTCTAGAGTCTGGGAGCTTTAACAGAAGCTTATGAGAAAGTCTATGCTCAATTCTGACAAGGAACAAATACATGCAATGATTTTAGGAATTATATCTTGAGGTGATGTTTTAATCTTTAAGAAAAGCTATACTTTCTCCTAAAGCTCAAAAAAATGCATTTATTTTTTACACTACATTCTATCTGGAACTTCAGATGCCTGTGTGATATCAGTCAGAACTGCATTTCTGTGTGGAAATTCAGTATCCCGCTATAGCTGTAATACACAATCATAGACTCATAGCATAGTTAAGGCTGGAACCTTTGAGAACATTAAGTACAACCATCAACCCAAAACCACCACCATACACACCACTAAACCACATCCTGCAGTACAACAGCCATACACTTCCAGGGATAGTGATTCCACCACTTGTCTGGGCAGTTTGTTCCAATGGGTTACAACCCTTTCCATCAAATTTTTTCTCCTTGTGTCTAAACTAAACCTCCCCTGGGCTGCAATTTGAAGCCATTTCCCCTCCTTCTGTCACTTGTTACCCAGGAGAAGAGACTGAGCCCCACCCCATTACAACCTCCTTTTAGGTGGTTGTAGAGACTGCTAAGATCCCCCTTGAAGCTCCTTTTCTCCAGGCTAAACAGTCACAGCTCCCTCAGCTGCTCCTCACAGGAACTGTGCTCCAGACCCTTCACCAGAAACCTCTGTTCTATGTAAGTACTGATACCGCTGAAGTGACATATCTTTCCAGAGAAGCAAAGAGGTATAAAGAATGACATAAATTAGGACACATTTTCTTCTTCATCCCAGTCAACTAGATGGCTTGTCTTAACAAAAATAAAAGCACCAAACCAAACAAAAAAAAAAAAAAAACACAAACCCAAGAAACAACTCAAAACTCCCAGAACAACAAAGAAAACCAACCATCAACAACAATAATATATGCTCTTACTTTTTTCCAATTCTATCTTAAAAACAAAACTTGCTACATGTCAACAGTTAATTAAGCAACTGTAGAACACTTAACAACATATCTGATTTAAAACCTCTTCAGGAATTTCACCGGTTCCCTCAATTGCATTCAGTACTCTAAATAATGAGAAATGTTTTCATATTCTGAATAAATCTCTTTCCATACTGAGTGGTTCTTTTAAAATAGATAATATCTCTAGAATTTCCATATTAGACACATGAGAACTAACACATTTATCTGTTGCTTTGCTGCCTTGTTTTCTTACTCTTTTTGTTTGCTCTTTTAATTTGGGCTGACTACACAGCAATTTACAGTTTAAATGAAACACATAAGAGATTGCCACAGTGATCTTTTAAGTTTTCTTTATTTCATCCTTCTACAAGTTTACAGTACTATAAATGTCCTCAACTCTTAGTTCTGTTTTCTATTTTCAAACCATAAGTTCTTTTTCCAAAGTGAGATTGCCTTCCATTTGCCAATATCAAAATTTGCATGTCACCATTCTGCTATTTGCCTTAAGTCTTGCTATTTTTCTGCTACTTCCAGGTGCCTTCTGTAGTCTTGAATAATTAAAACTATATACTGGTACCTTCTGCGATTATGTAACTTTATAAAATAACAACCAATTCATATAGAACTTCAAAAGATATTTTGAGAAATGAATAGTTATGAACATTCTTAGCCAAGGTTTCTTAGAAACAAAACAAAAAATGTGATGCACGAGAAAGGAAAGTCAAGGAAACTGGTTTTCCTGCCTTTTTACTCCATGACTAAAGACACCTGGAAATGAACTCTCTTTAAACATAAAACACTACAGTTTCTACACATAACAATCATCATCACTTTCAAAATTTTGCGAAGCTCATTTCCCAACATGTTCTAGATGGAATGCTCCGTTTCCATCTTCTAGGTAGACCTTAAGAATAACAGGCAACAGTAAGTTCTTTTCTTCTGCCTCACCTCTTCTTAACCTCATTCCCCTTGACGCACAAATGGAACAAATCAAAAATACAATATAAAATTATTGTTACCTTAATTGGGCCAGCAATTTCTTCCACTTGATGAATTTTTTCTTTCACCTCTTCTAATTTTTTTTCAGCTGCTTGGAGATTATTTTTCAGTTCTTCCATTTCTCTGCTTTGTAGCTGCATGTCTTGTTTCACAGATTCTATTCTACCCTTATTTTCTTCAGCTTCTTCTTGCTGTCAAAAGGTATTAAAGTTAAGAATAATAAAAAGAGACACATTTGTAAACTACTGTACCAGATTTTTTTAACTATCACTATTAGGGTACATTATTACATGAAGTTCTCTGTAACTCTAATAAGAATAGGAGCAGCTCAATGTAAGTGTCACTAAAGCTCAAAGGAAGAGACTGACAGACCTTGTAGGAGACCACTAAATCAAAGTGCAAAATAAAAAAGGAACTTCATATTTATGTGACTGAAAATTAAGAGGATTTTATTCAGAGTTGTGATGAAAAGACTGAAAAGAACAAGGTAACTTCCCTCTGGATCTGTGGCCAATATAAATCCAATACACAATGCAATACAGGAAGAGTAAGTGAATTGTTGTTGTCTCCTAGAAAATAACATCATTCCTAAATTATCATCATAAATACTTTCTGATTCAAAAATATTGCAAAACCTGGAGAAAAAAATTAAATCACCAAAAATAAATAAAATCCCTCCATTTACAGAAATGTTTAGAATTATGGCAAGCATTCCATTCCTCACAATCCAGCTTTGCTTATTTCAAAGCACTGCTAACATTAAAAGACATTGTCCATATGCTAATTAGACATAATTGCATAACCTGTTCTTACTAATATATGGATGTCCGCTGTCTGGTGCTCTTCCACGTTTTCAAGATCTGCTATCTCTGCATTTGCTGTTTTTATTTTTGCCTGGGAAGAAAAAGAAAATACATGTTCTGAAGCTTAACTAAAGAGAAAAGTTCACATTTGTTTATTTAAGTCATCACAGGAAAGAAGATACTTTTATTTTTTAGCTTTGTTAGTGACTAACAAGATACACAACTCTTCACACCCACCTGTGGAATTCATTTTCATGAGATATAACTTATTCTGAAAGTCGTGTGCTTTAATTCATTAAGTTACCATATTTCCATTCAATATGACAATTTAATAAAATACACTGTATTTTTTCTTCAAGTATTTATCTTCAGCACTTCAGACTGTATGCTAGGGGTTTTTTTGCTGCTTCTTGCTTATTATTTACTGAATATAAACTTCTATAATATCTATTAGTTACACGGCCTACCAGGAGCACCATTGGCCACCAAAAATATTTATCCTACCTAGAAGTACCAGAGACCACAGAAAGGAAGCTAAAAGCTGTAAAATAGTTTATAAAGTAATTAAAATGAAGAGAACTTAAAGAAGACATATTCAGCATATCAAGATTGGTTAAGAATATACCAGAAGAGCATGAAGATAAGATTCTGGGAATGAAGAGGCAAGGCACAACAGAAATAAAGGAGAGAAAAGCATTATATGATGCAAGTGTCTTTTCTGTGCAACAACTTACTACTAGTGTCAAAAATAGCAGTATAAATTTGTAAGATTTAGCACAAGGTGGGGAAAGATACCGAACAGCAACAACAGCATGTGTAATGATTGATGTGGCCTCTATCATTCTGTCCTCAATTGTAAGAGCATACAACAAAAAAAAATTAAAGCAAACAAGAAAAGTAAGGAGAAAAATTAAAAACTATCAGGCACTCCATATAGATTGCAGAAGTCAAAATGCAATAGGGAAAGACTGAGGAGTTTCTAAAAACTAACACTGTACCCATTTTTACCTGTAGCTGTTTTTGGTGTCGCCGATGACCATAGAGATGATCTTCATTCTGCCTGATCTCATTTTCAATGGAATGTAAGCGTTGTTGAGAGGCTGTCAACTGTGCCCGTTTGTTTTCAATTTCCTTATTCAAGTGACTTTATGAACAAAGTGATATTGAGATGTTACACACTACACAGATATTATTTGTGACACACACATACAGAAATACACAAAAAAAAATTAAATGCATTACAAGACAAAGGGTAAAAATGCACTTCTTTTTAACTAGCCTACATCATTCCCCCATAGCAAAATTGGTAATGGAATGCCTGTAACACTTTGAAAGTTAAAATAATTTTTGAGTGAAATTCATTATATACTGACATGAACAAACTGGAAGTAACTGACACATTTAAAACTTCTGAGTTTATAAAAATGAATTTCAACATTCAATTCAGTTTATACTATCAGCTATTAATACTAAAATTGCCTAATATGTCTCTAATATAATCTGAGCCTCAAAATGAAAGTATTCTATTGTCACAAATTTCCTTGGTGACAGCAAGAGTTTGTAATCGTTGAAGTACATTTTGCTTTTTCAACTACCATTTTGAAAGCAATGAGAGAAAAAAACCCTAAAAATATAAAAGGTGATAGAATTCTCAGAGATACCTACCATGAATGAAGTCAAAAGCCTGAGGAAACACAGATGCAAAGTTTGAACCCAACAGGAGGATGTGTGTTAACAACTTTGGTTTGAAGAGTCAGGCCTCCCTTGCAGTAAACTACAACATCTCTGTTCAAGTATTATATCTTTAAAGAAACAGCCTTGACTCCATACTCTTTTTGACCAAGCATACAAAAGAAGGTAGCTGGATTTCTTGGAGTACTAAGCAAAGAAAATGCCTGCTTGGTGGGTAAGATCTACATGCCACAAACTGAAAGACAACTAAATACAATGCAAGTTTGTTCCTATCACAAAAAGGCACTGAAATGAAGAGATTTTCTAGAATTCTCAGAAAGGAAGTATAAATATCAGAAAGAAAATGGAAGAGATCAGAGAGTAGTGTACATGCAAATAGACAAATATGCAATTCCACTGTTCATACCTACAAGTGCACTTTCTACAAACATGTTAAAAGATACTAACCTGATTTCTGCCTCAACATCTTGACTTAGGAACTTGGGTCTGACAAAACTGGAAGAGTAATAGCGTCGTTCAAATACTTGATCACCTGCAGCAGTGAAAGCTTCTCTACAGTTTCTCGGGGGCCGACTGCACTGCATTACCTCACGAGCCCTACGGCTATCCTGAAAAACAAAATGCCCTTATAACACCAGCAAGAAATGCAACCATAATTAAAGAGAAGAGTTTAAAAGTTGTCCAGATGTTTTCACCCAGAAATAATTTCAATTCTTAATGAAAAGAAATACATTAATGAAAGAATGTGAATATTGTCTATAACATCAAGAATCTACTTTCCTTAGTTGAGTAAGACATTCTCAAGAACCCACTAAGTTTAATTGATCATTTATTTGTAAATTCTGTAATCTAATCAGTCCCTTATAATTTGCCTTGGGGGAAAAAAATCACTAACCAGAAGGTCACTATGCACAGATATATTCAACTATCAAAAGTAAATAAACATAGAGGAAAGAAGCTTCTAAAGCAAGGGATAAAGGACATCAAACAAGACTCAATTAAAGTTCAGGGAAACATGTTGGTAAAAAATCCCAACATTGACAGTGCCAGACCAAGTGCCCTTGTTCAAGGCAACCATGTTATCCATTCCAATGTATTAATTTTTCCACAGGATACTTCTTTCAGATTCAGTTGAAATTACTCAGGTAAGGCTCAAAGGTAATAATGTTATGGAAATCACTGATTAGTTCAGGCAGAGGGGGAAGAAGAGTCCCAATATTCCTGCCATGACAAAAGCCTAAAAAAATTCAGCTGTTATATAACCCATGCAGTGACAGCCAATGCTTGACAAACAGTCAGCTCTGCCTCAGACAGATCATGAACCACCTCTACCCAGTAAGAACGTCAGAGGATAAACTGGGACAAAAGATTTTGGAGAAAAATAAAATTCACAAAAAAGTAAGGATCATTAGTTCTGCTTACTTAGAGAATATCCTGCCTTCTCTAAATAAAAATATACGACTTATCTTTATCTTTGAATACTTTATCTGTAATCTTATCTGCAGGAGCTGGTATCTTCAGTACTAACAGAATATCAAAAATCAATTAAGATCAGAAATCAGATAGTGCCAGAAAACTTAGCTACCAGCTTCTAGGTACAACTGGTAGGGGCAGCTTGGAAATTTTGCTAACTCCCAGACTACCCAAAAGCGGCACATCCTGAACCCACCAACAGAGAGACATGAGACAGAGCCAGCACTTATGAGGCTGACTACCCACACATGGACTATTTAGACTGGGAAATTACACCACTTAGAGGCCCAGAAAGGTAGTGGCAAACAACCCAGAAAGTAACAGGAAAGGTCCTGAAACACATGGGGCACAGAGGGGAGCAGAACTTCCTCGACCTCTTTTATTCATTAAAGACACTACCAGTGAAGACACCATAAATGCTCCATGCTCTTTCCTTAAAGATCAACAGGGAGCATAAAGCTTACTTTAATCAGCAGGACTGTTTCTATACCCCTCATATCAATCAAACAATTGGCAACCACTGGATTTTCTATTTCCAATGCTGTCAGAACTGTTGGGAATTCTGGATGATGAACAGCTCTGAAGAAAAGAAAAAAAAAACAACATTCATAAAACTCCCATGAGATTCTTAAAAGAAAAATACAAATAGTTCTTTTCAACCATCAAGGCTAAGAAATAAAATTTAAAACATACTTACCTCTGACTAGTATCATAAATTTTATTCTGAAATTTATGTACAATTATCTGAGGTCTATGTCCACGTGGATAATATTTTGACATCAGTGACTGAAGAGTTCTTTCATCGCTGTGATTATCACAGCAAAATGCCTGAAGAGCGCTTTTTAAACAGCATTCAATAGCCAAGTTCAGTTCAGGATCTTTTGGATGAATCAAAGCACCTAAATAAACACAAGAAGCAAGGCTTTAGGTGCTGTGTTCCATGAGAAAATGTTTAGTAGAGCATTTTTACCACTCAAGGTTCTTGTTTTGTTGTATTTCAGGCTTTTAAATGAGTCTAAAATAAACCTTTCTTATAGGTAGAAAAAAAAAATAAGACGTGGACTAAAAAGTTAAAAGACTCTACAACAGACCTAACTTTTTTTAAGAGTATAAAATAAACTTTTCTTATAGGTAGAAAAAAAAATTTAAGAGGTTGACTAAAAGTTAAAAGACTCTACAAACATATAATTTCTCTGCCTAGACACACCTACACATAGTTGGAGGCCTGTATTTTCTTCCATTAGGGGTACCAATTTTATGAAAGCTTAGCAGAAATATATCAAGGCAAAGACAGCTAATCAACAATTTAATGCTTTACGGATGAAGCCAGTGGAACGACGACACTGCAAATTAAACAAACACGAAGATTTCCATTATATCACCTGTCTTCAGTGGCACATATTCTCTTACCCTGCAGTAAATGCCACGTACTTTACATCCAGAATATGCTGAAACCTTTCCTCCCATTCACAAACTGGAAATAACAGCCATTGTCAGAGCTGGACAGAAGACAAATAAAAGCCAGCTTTCCAAGAGAATCTCATTTGTGTCTGTCTGACCTGTTCCTTCCAAACATCTTAAGTTTGAGAAACCCACAAGTCAGCCACTGGACATTTTGAACAAAATCTATCCATGATCTGGACAGTGCTATCCACTGAGGAACAAGCAGTCAAAACACAGTTCTCTGATGCCTTAAGGATGTGGGGGAGTTGGAGGGATGCATTGAAAGTTTACCATTGTAAAATATCTCAACAAAAATGGCTGGAAAATGAGAAAAGCCAGTAGATGTAAGTGAGTGCATAACAGAAGCAAAAGATAACCTACCAGGGTAAAACTTTTAGTCCAGGAAGTACAGAAGAAAAAGATGCATCTGATGTTCCTTAAAGAACAAATATTTCTAAAAGACCACTACTTAGATTAGCAGCCATACAAAAATATCCCATGAAAAAGTATGTTTCAGAAATTGTTCTCACCTAAAGGTCCAAGAGGTTTCTTTCTAAATCGTCCTTGTTTATGGGCTACTTCAACTGCTTCAAGAAATGCTGGTACATATGGTCCAAATCTTTTCAAAGCATTTGTTTTACTGTCTTTCAGGTCTCTCAGCTGTTTCTGGTGGGCATCCAGTGCTTGCTGCACTTCACTGCTTTCTCTCCTAAGAAAAGAGATTTTTTTTTCAGTAGTTATAGAGCCTAAATTGCACTAAAATAATTATAAAGCCTTGTTTTTCAATTAGGATTGTGTATCAAGGTATCAGCAGTTCAATGTAAAGCTAGGTACACACATGCAGTAAGATTTTTATAGTTTCAAGAAACATGGGAAAAAAAAAAGCAAGAGAGAAAAATACTACTTTGCAACAGTTCCACAAGACTTTTTTATTTCTAATAAATTATAATAAATTTCTTTTATTTCTAATTATCTTTTTCAATTTCACTGTCTTCAAAGATCTTCAACAAAACATAGAGTAAGCCTTGGTTATAATAATTGGTAAGAGCCATTTACATTAACACACCAGGTGCAATAAGGAACAATTCTCAAATCCTTCACGACAATAAAAGTTCATCTTTTCAAATCAAAGCCAGAGTGCTTTGTTTTTTCTATCTTGGGTATGGGCTAAATTCGTATTTGAAGCTCTTTGCCTCAAAGCCTCTGTGAATTGCCTTAACTATAGAAGCAGCAATTACTCCTAAGTGTATCTATTCTCTTAATGTGAAAAATAAACTGGAGTCTAATACCTCAGGGATCACAGGTACATTAGAAGGGATACATAAAAGAAGGGATTCCCTCTAACTTGAAACAGAGGCAAACAATTACATTTCAAAAACCGCAACTTACCTGAGTCTAGAATGATCTTCCCTACATTTAGATATAGCCTGCTGAAACTGATCCAACTGCTGACCAATCATTACTTCTTCATCATGGAATGCCTTCAACTGTTCCCTTAAGTATGCAATTCTCCTTTGTCTTTCCAATTTCTCAGGCTCTGAAACCTGATTAGCACTAGAAAAGAACATAGGTCCATATTTTAAAACCATATTGATGATTTAAAAGTGGCATGAATTTCATTATTTGTAGTGCAGAGAAGATTTACTCATCAGTTACATTTAAGATTCTGTTAAGCTGCAAGATATACATAGCAATAACGCAAATTTTAATTTTTTTTTAGATTTCTAATCACATGTAACTCGCCCCAGTTACATTCCTATTTCATTTAGTTTAAGACATATTGGTTTTGCACTATCATGGAAAGGTAAGGAATATCTGTTATCACCAAAACCAAACCAAACCAAGACAACCCCAAAACAAACAAAAAAGCCACTTTTGCTACCCAGTTGCCTCTTCTTTTGACATTTTAATCAAAATCTTGGTATGTAAAGGAGCAGGATGAGAAATATTCAGGTATTTAACTGGACCCTACTAAAGACTAAATAAATATTTTCTATTACTGCAGGTTTTTTCAGTAATCAGAAAAGCTTACTTCTTTTCCACTTATATCTTAATAAACATACACCATATTTACCAGCTTTTCAGTTCTTCAATTTGCTTATGGAGCTGTTCCCTGTCTTTTTCCAGACGTTTTAACTCTGTTTTGGAGCGATTATAAATGATCTATCAAGGAAACAGGATACAGTGGTTTAAGAAATAGAAGAAATAATTTCTGAAAGAAGTACAGTTTTGAGTAAATACAGAACTCCACCAAATCAGACAAACATAACTTGATTTTCAGAAATTACATCTATTTATTTATTTTGACCTAAGCTTAACACTGTTTAGTAACTATGTAAAGGCATAAATGCCAGAGCTCCTGAACAGACACGACTTGCCAGTCAGACAGGAAATTGCACCTGTTCTGAACTCACCATGGACTTAAGAAGCCAAGATACAGGTGTAGAATTAGAGACGGGCAGAGCATGGGTAAGTTTATAGCTTTAAATTGGTATGAACTTTGAAAGGGTTTTTTTTGCCTACCTCAGCTTCATTGACTGCTTTTCTTTTTGCCTGCACTTCAGCCTTCAAAGAAATACACTGAGGATGAAGGCCTTGTGCTTCTTCACTTACTGTTATCAATTTGTCTTGTATTGCTTTGTACTTTTTTTCTGCTTCATTCACTTTTTCCTTTGGTGAAAAAAAACAACAAAACAAGTCGTAATGGAACAGAATTTTCTTCAAAACCTCTTAATGTTAAAAGACAAATATCTCTCAAAAGAATCCAGCAGACACATTTCAATTGTTTGAGTTCTGTTGGGTTTCAAAAAAAAGAGCAAGACATTGCCACCATGGATATGCTAAGACGAAAACTCAAAAATGTTCATTCTTGGGAAATGAACAGGCTGCCAAATCTGTGACACAGACAGCAAACTTTTTTCCTATCTCAATGTTTACTCAACCACAGGACTTTTAATACAATAAGGTCAAGTACCATGATACCAAAAGAAATGAAACCAGTGTCTAGACAGTGTTCCTTCATTGCTACATAGACATGCTGACCATAAACCAAAAAATGCGAAATTGTGAAACACGTACTTTTTAAAATAAAGAAAAAAAAACATAAAAAAACATAAAACCATTTTTTTAAAAAAGGAAAGTAAGTGCTAACAAGGACAGTTTGGAGGACTTTTAATAGATTGAGAAGTTCTGGGGCTGTTCAGCCTGGAGAAGTGGAGGTCGCATGAAGACCTCATAGCAGCCTTTTGGTATCTGAAGGGTGGCAAAGGAAGCTGGAGAGGGATTCTTCATTATCTGTATTGATATGACAAGGAATAATGGGTTTGAACTGAAAGAAAATTATTTAGAAAAAAGTTTAGATTCGCTATATGGAATTAATTCTTTATTGTGGGGGTGGTGAGGCAATGTCACAGGCTGCCCAGAGAAGCTGTGGATGCCCCATACCTGGAAGTGTTCAGTGCCAGGTGGGATGGGGCTTTGAGCAGCCTGATCCATTGGAAGGTGTCCCTGCCTGCGGCAGGGGGGTTGGAACTGGATGATCTTCATGGTCTCTTCCCACGCAAACTATTCTATGATTCTAGATTCAAAATAATGATGCCAGATTCTCTGCACAAGATGTGTTTCATATGCAAATCAGAATGTATGACAAAATTATTTTTTCTTGCTACCTACAGAAGTCTTAAGAACCATCCCAAAACTTCCAGATGTCTCCTGAAATCACTGCTCTTTTCTAAAGGCAATGATACCCACGAAAACCTTCACAACAGATCTCTGACTTGGGGGGTGACTACAGCTAGAGTGCTATATGGTTTGGACCATACACCTACCTGGCATTCTTCGACCTTCTGAAGGAGCTCCGTATTTCCTTCTTCAGCTCTGACACCTTCTTTGAGCAGCTCTACTTCTTTTTCCATCTCACTCACCTAAAGAAGCCCATATTAGCATATGCACAGGAGACTGGGAATGAAGCACATTTCACATGAACAAACATATTTTAGCAAGACATTTACCACTGCCCACACCATTTGATGTTTCAACTCTTTGAGACGAGCTTGCATGTCATTCACAAACGTGATGCTTTTGAAAGATTCCTTCTTTTCCAAATAAAGCTGCTTAAGTTCTTCAAGACGCTTAAAAAAGAAAATAGGGGTTCAATCATGACTGTGAAAAGCTGTGATATAACATGAAATTTTGGAAATATTTGGGTTTTTGAAATTTATTGTCACTGAGATCTAATAAAACCAAACTACGCAGTTTAACTCCTGTACTTCCTTCACTGCTCAGATCTGTCCTAATAATTACTTTAACTTTTACATACCTCTTCCCCTTGTTCTATCTGAACACGGGTATTTTTTTTAGTTTTCCCAATAAATGAATAATCTTCTTTCATTTGTTCCAGCTGAGTTGCCTTCATAAAAAACTAAAAAGGAATAAAAAGATGCAGATGTGAGATCAGCACCCTCTCTAAGTGGACCTTCAATAATTATGACAGAATGACCAGTCATCCCAAGATCCCTGCATTTTTTGGATATCATTAATTAATTAATGATATCCAAAGTGAAAAAACTGGTCAGGTTGTGGTGGTACAACTTCCACCCCTCCTCAGGCCACAATGTGGTATTTGAAATATTTGTTAGCCCCAGCCTTGATGAACAGAAGTTGGGATCAGCCCCTCCTGAGTTTATTAGAAACACTCTCTACTCTCAGGAACTTACACTGTCTGACAAGCTCCTCTTTCTAAATGAAGTGCCTTTGAAACTTGCTTTTCTTGTCTGACTAAAAACCCAAATAGAACAACATTTTTGTTATCGAATTGTCACAGAAAGTTACTTGTGGAAGGGGCTAGCAGCAGGCCTGTTAGCTAAAGGAGTGAGAAGTTAGAAGAAGAAGCTGAACCAAGGAGATCAAGAGAAGAAAGATGGGAGCATTCTGCAACTGGAGGGGAAACACCTGTAAAGTGTATCAGCCATTTTCACTAATAAAGTGTTGCCAAGGGTTGCGAACGGTTGCAAACAGTGCTAACTGAGACTGAGTGTGCTTGTGGTCTCTGCTTTAATGTCGTGACCGCCTCGACTGCGACATTTTGGTGACCCCGACATGATGGAGGTATGCAGCCCGAGAGCTGCAGCAGCCTGAAGAGCTGTGGAGATGGAGGTATGCAGCCTGAGAGCTGTAGCAGCCTGAAGAGCTGTGGAGATGGAGGTATGCAGCCTGAGAGCTGTAGCAGCCTGAAGAGCTGTGGAGATTGAGATATGCAGCCTGAGAGCTGTGGAGGAATATGCAGCCTGAAGAGCTGTGGAAGATATGTGTAGCAGCCTAAGAGCTGTAGAGAAGAATTGAACCAAGGAGCTGTGGCAGCCAGGAGCTGCCAGAAATATGGCCTTTGAGTCAAGAAGCTGTGTGTGCCGACGTGATAAGAAAATAGTCGGTGGGGGCCCAGTCCTAGCAATTGGCATAAGTGACCCACTGGGACGTAGTGGGGGAGGCGGCGTTGGTGCAGCTGAGAGTGGCAAGTGGAAGCCACAGGGAGGTCCGGACCTGATTCCCTCCAATCAAGACACCTGGAAGTAGGTGAGCCACCAACTAGTAATAATGGGACAAAATTTATCTAAAGAGGAAGAAAATGTTCTGTCTACATGGAAAGTTTTGTTAAGAAATAAGGGAATTAATACGTCAGACTATGCACTTCGTAATATAATGCTGTGGGCTAAATCAAAGAATTTTGGCACTGATCCCAACACAGCATTTAGTGTTAAGGCATGGAAAAAGGTTGGGGACAGACTTTGGCAAGTTATTCGAGTGGGAGATAAAACAGTTGTTGATCTAGCAGTTACTTGCAACTCGCTCTTTGAGGCTTTAAAGGAATGGAAAATAGAGAGAGAAACGGAGCAAGATGTGGACAAGAGTTGGGGCTGATAACAGAACCTGACGGGGGGGCCTCTGCTCTAGTCCAGCCATCCGCCCTCCTGCTCCCCTCTGAGCGGCTTGAACAATCTGCAAGGCCGTATCCTCCTTTACCTGACAGTGACAGCAACAGCGAATCAAGTGATGAGTCGCCCGCAGTAATACCTAAGTTGGGGCAAGGAGCTCTGGTCCCTTCATCTCTTAAGAGCTCTAGCCTTACTGCCCCATGGACTTTGCCTCCATGTCAAGTAACTGTGCTTCCTCGACATCCTCAGGAGTTCTGGGAATTTGTTAGGAGGAAAGCAGTTGAAGAAAAGAATTGGGACATCATAGAAAGGTTAGGTGCTCTAAGAGTACCTAAGGATAATTGTGGACAACAGGGGCATGTAAAGTCACAGTGTACTGTCCGGAAAACAACATTTAGGCCAAGTGCAAGCAGCGATGTTGTATGCAATCGTTGTGCTAAATCTGGGCACTATGCTAAGCAATGCAGGAGTAAATATCATGCAAATGGTCAGCTATTGCCAGGAAACCCAAAGAGGGGCGCGAAGGGGCGCATTGGGAAACAAATACCCCAACAACCCCAACAGCAAATGCGGGCCTTCCCAGCCCTGCAAAGCTACCCATTTGCGAACAACACTCAGGGGCAACAAGCGGGTCCGCAGGCATTGATATACCCACAGCTGACACAGTAACCACTTTAACAAAAGAAATATGTAAGGTATCCCTTGATGCCTATGGTCCAATAGGATGGGGACCGCCAGTGGATGTCATCCAGGAACTATATCAGTAACAGGTTTGATTGACACTGGAGCAGATGTCACAATACTCTTGCAACTTTGCTGGTCTCAATCATGGCCTCTCACTCGTGCATGTTTTGGACTCCTGGGATTGGGTGGTGCTACAACAGGTGGCCTGTCAGCCATTGTAATTAATGTGAAACATCCTGATGGCCAACAAGCTAACATCAAACCCTATGTTGCCGATGCTCCTCAAAGTTTGTGGGGACGAGATTGTTTATCTCAATGGGGTATCAAAATTACTACAGATTTTTAATGGGGGCCACTGTGTTGCAGGGCAATGAACGTCCAGTTGTACCCCTGAGATGGCTGACAGATAAGCCTGTCCGGGTTTGCCACTGGCCCCTGACTACTGAAAAGCTTACTGCCCTGCAAGAATTAGTTACAGAACAATCGCAAGCAGGACACATTGAGGAATCATTCAGTCCCTGGAACACCCGTTTTTGTAATAAAAAAGAAATCGGGAAAATGGAGACTTTTACATGATTTATGGCAGATAAATGCTGTAATGGAACAATGGGAGCTTTACAACCAGGCCTTCCTACACCTACGATGATTCCACAGGAATGGCAAATAGTTGTCATTGATCTAAAAGATTGTTTCTTCACTATTCCGCAGCTGAAGCAGAACGTGCAGATGACACTGGCTAAGACCATATATCAGTACTCTAAGACCATATATTAGTACTTAAAGATGGATGAAGGACAGGAACGATTAGTATTAAGAATGGGAATTTTGTTGATGGTTGTGATTGTGATTTTCTGCGTCCCCTCTCTGCTTGGGTTTTTGCAAAGGGCCCTGCAAAAATCCATAGCAGCTGCATTTACAGTTCAAAAACAAAAAAAGGGGAAATTGTGGAAGGGGCTAGCAGCAGGCCTGTTAGCTAAAGGAGCGAGAAGTAAGAAGAAGAAGCTGAACCAAGGAGATCAAGAGAAGAAAGATGGGAGCATTCTGCAACTGGAGGGGAAACAACTGGAAAGTGTATCAGCCATTTTCACTAATAAAATGTTGCCAACTGTTGCCAATGGTTGCGAACAGTTGCAAACTGAGACCGAGACTGAGTGTGCTTGTGGTCTCTGCTTTAATGTCGTGACCGCCTCGACTGCGACAGTTACTGACTTGGATTGTGGTCAGGGTGAAAAATTACTATGACTAAAGCCCACCCTCTTGTGACCCTATGAACAATGGTCGCAAGTGAGACCCCCTGAGCTCTCCTGGACCACAGTGGGCTGTGGCAGCACCTCTCTCTGAGTGAGACACCACTGTGAGCCAGAGAACCCTCACGTTTACTTGGAGGACGGCTGCCAGAAGCTGACAGAGCCTGGGCTGATACCCCTACTCCTCAAGGATCAGCCTTCATCCTCTGAGAGGATTCAAAGGCATTTGACATGAGTACTTCTCTGAGTTGCAGGGGAATCTTTCACAGGTATACAACTTGTACACAAGTCTTTAGGTCTGTACACGTAGACATGTGCATCTGGTATAGCAACTGTATTATGAATGTTTTTTAAGATTCTGAAGTACTCAGACTAGTAAGAAAATTAGGCCTATGAGTGAGTTACCACTGTAGTATTGTAAACTCTCTAAGAATCATCTGTCAAATTGTTTAAAACAGGCTACTAATTAAGTACTGTTAAATTAATGCACTGTCAAAACCTTTAGGCCTGAAGCATAGTCAAGTCCAGAGCTAGGTTTGGCAAGGGGATCCATTCTGAACATTGGGACTTAATGGGAAGGTCTCCTTTACTCCTTTTTATCCATACTTTTTTCCCATTCCATATTCTATTATATAATTTTATGTTGATTTTGGTTTTAGATTTATTAATTTCAGGTTTTAGTCCAATTTTCCTCTTGTGCACCTATGTAAGTAGGAGAGTGAACCTTGCCAACAAACCTAGCCACACTTTCACTTTAATATTAAACCTGCTTTTGCTGATACCTATGCCAGTGGTTCTTCGGGTGACTTAGAACACTCATTTCCCATAGGGGTACTTCTGAATAATGAACTAACTCAGCAGAGCCCTAAAATCTAAATTTATCCATCTCTTTAGAGAGAAGAATCTACAAAAACATTGTTCGTGCAAGTGGATAACTGGTGCAATCAGATAGTGCACTGGCTCTGGTTGGGATGGAGTTAAATTTCTTCACAGGAACTGTTAATGGTGTTTTGTCTGGTTGGGATGGAATTAAATTTCTTTACAAGAACTGTTATGGTGTTTTGTTTTAGATATGTGATCAAAAAAATACTGATTACACACTCATATGTTAGCTGTTGCACAGAAGCCTCCTTTTTCTCACTCTGCCCTCTCAGTGAATAGACCAGCTGGGTGTGCAAGAAGTTGGGGAGGTATACAAACAGGCAAATGATTCCAAGCAGCCAACAAGATCTGCCACCTCAGAAAATGTCACTGTGATGGTTTAGCCCCAGCCACTTACTCACTTTCCCCTGGGGTGTGACAGGGAAGAGAATCAGAAAAGCAAAAGCAAGAAACACATGGGATAAGACAAAAATAGTTCAAAACACCAAAAGCTGCACATGCAAGCCAAGCAAAACAAGGAATTCCTACACCATTTCCTGGGGCAGGCAGGTATTCAGCCATCCCCAGGAAAACAGGGCTCCATCAAGCCTAATGGTGACTTGGGAAGACAAATGCATCATGCAAAACATCCCCCAATTCCCCCTTCTTCCCCAAGCTCTATATGCTCAGCATGATGCCACATGGTCTGGGATATCCCTTTTGTCAGCTGGGGTCATCTATCCTGGTGTGACCCCTCCCAAAGCCTTGTGCACCCCCAGCCTCCTTGCTGGTGGGGTGGAAAAAGAAGAGGAAAAAGCCTTGACGGTGTAAGGCGTGCTCAGCAATTACCCAGACAGCAATAAGGAAAACATCTCCCCATTATAAACTCTGTTTTCAGCACAAACCCACTAAGTAGCCCTGTACAAGCTGCCATGAAGAAAATTAATCCTAACCCAGCCCAAACCAGCACAGCCACGCTCAGTAATAAAAACAGGTAAGAGAGGGTTTAGGGGGATTAGCCATCTTTTACTTGGGCACTGGCTGGGCCTCAGTCTACCAATAGGAGATGGTGAATGATTCCCTTTGCATCTTTTATTTTGCTTCACTTTGTTTCTCTCTCTCTCCTTCCAGCTTTCATTTCAGTTATCACACAAATTTTATCTCATCCCTTTCATTTATTTTTTTTAATTTTACTCCTCATTTCCCACTCCCCCTGCCCAAGCCTGGGGGCAGCACAGAAGGGAAGTGAGCAAGTGGTTGTGTGGCATTTAGCTACTTACCTGAATTAGCCCAAAACAGGTGATTAAAATCAAGGAATTTGATCTTTTTCCCAAATGCTCTTAAAATTTGCAATTGGGATTTTAATGTTTTATGACTATGCTATATTTTTTCCTTACCTTGTACTTGTCCCCTTCATTTTTGGTCTGTAGAAACTGTTTACTCATCTCTTGGGTTAAAACAGACACAGGATTATCTACCTGCAAAAATAAATAATTTTAATTTTGTTTTAATTACAAGTTACCATGTAACTGCAAATCCATGGAAGTGAGAACCCTGTTTTTGTCTTGCAACTTATTACTAAGATAATGTGGTAAAATCAAGCTTGCTAATCCTCTCACATCTTCAAAATAAACCAAAACATAACAAACAAAACCAATAATAAACAGAAAATTAAAAAACCCAACTATATCAAATATAAAATAGAACCACAGCAAGGACAACTAAGGAACTGCTTCCAAGAGGATATGTGACTTCTATAAAAACAGTACCTGTAAGTTCCATTTATTTAACAAAATGAGCATTAGAAATTCTTGTTGTGTCAAAGTATGGCAATAAATACAATTAATTGACTCGTATGTTCTTACAGATGCTGCCACAAAATAAAATCAATACATACTAACTGCAATTCCTGTTATTTGAAATTCTCAGTTGAATATTTTAAACTTCATATGCACTACCTGATCTTTTATTAATCAATTAGGCAGAAAAATCACATTCAAATTTCTGAAACAGCTACAACTGAAACAATCAGCAGAAAAAACCTCTCCAGATACAAAATAAACCTACATATGTCAAGACTATCAACAGGACACATGACTCACAGGTCACAGATGACAGCAAATACTTTTCTGTCTGGGACAGAATCCTATTCTGCATTGCATGAGGTATATATTTCAATTTTCCTTTTGCTGATGAATCTGATCTTTAAATGATATGGAAGAGGAGCAACTCTCTCCTTTAAGAAACAGTTCATTTCTTTTTAATTGAAGAATTACAATATCACATACCAATGTCTTCTTAAATTGCACAGAATTTAAACACTACAACAACTACCTGTATATTAAAGTGATCCAGTATTCCTATGAGTTCCTCTTTCTTTGAAGAAATTATGGTCCCTAGTGGTAAAAAAAAGAAAGGAAAAATATCAGTAGGTACAATGCCCTGGAGTACTTTCTTCATTGTAGAGAATCTAAGAAATTAATTCCATCTCTTTGTAACACAGACTTAGTCCTGAACTGGAAACATTAGGGGTTTTTTTTAATTATTATTTTTTCAATACATTTTCATTTGCACAGAAAGACTTCTACTTGAAGTCCCTCTTTGCCTCATAAACCCTCTGTGACAGAATTTAGATAAATCAGCAAATTCAGTAAAACTTAAAAAAAGACTAAAAACTATGTTCAGCCTCATCACACAAGCAGATTTTTTTGAAAACAAATACATAATGTTACATCCGACATACTACATAATACATATCAATAAATACATAATTGCTTTTGACATACTAAAATATTTTTAGTTTGGGATAAAAACAAGAAAAATGGACATAGTAATCATCCTTGAGTGGTTTTATGAAAAGAGAAACCACATCCTTTACTAACATCAAGGCATTCAAATCCATGAACAAGTTTAGAGAACTTCTAAGACTGAGAACAAAGCAAACTACCACTAACCAGATTTGCTTTTCAGTTTGCAAGTTCTGCTTCCATCCTGATTAATGTGTTGATTCACAGTAATAGAGGTACCATACAATTCTGGTTTATAAGCATCTCTTCCTTGGTTTCGCAAGGTTATGGAAATATCTGCAGAGCTAAAAAAAATTAACAACAATAATTTTAAAACCCTGAATTTAATTTCAAATCTAAAAATAACAAAAAAAGTCAGAACATTTTAATTTTCCATACAAATTGTCATGTATGCTACAGGTCACAATTGCAAGTCAGTCACAGTACCAGTCAGAAAAACATATATTTATTTGGTTTGAGCCATAACACCATTAGAAGCATTGCTGGTTTAAAACTCAGCAGTAAAGTAAAGGGAAAGTAGAGGGAAAAGCAGTACCCAGCAGTAAAATAAAAGTAAAGTAAAGTAAAGGGAAAAGTAAACCGACTAAAGCTGTCCCCTTTCCTCCACCCCCTTCCCACAGCGGACGAAACAACAGCAGAGATTATAAAACGAAATCCCAATTTACTGCAAAATCTCAAAACCACAGCAGTATTAGTAAGACTGTACAAAACAGAGAGTGTTTTACCCACAGAAGGGTATTCAACACTAAAAAAAAATGGGTCCCCGAGACAGCACCTGGCATGGTTTCTCAGACAAAGGCAAAATGGAAACTGGCCTTGTGCTGGGCCGTGTAGTGCATGATAAATCAAGGATACTATGTCAGGGATGCTCACGGCTTAACTTCCCCTTTCCCCAGCCTGAAAACAACAGGAACACAGGGACAAGACAAAACCTGGTGGGATCTGACAGGGCTCTCAATCAGGTCAGGGGACCCTTTTCCTGGGCCAGACTGTGCACAAGCGGGACTGGAGTGCTCAGTGGTTCTGGCAGCAGTGGTGCTGCAGGGCTGCAGCCACGGTGGCTGGAGCTCCACACAGCTTGGCTGGGCTCTGCCCCGTGCTGCTGCTGTTCCCTCCCTTTTCTTTTTCTCTGAGCGGCATCTGGGCTTGCCGGCGCTCTCTTTCAGCACCAAACCAGAAAAGCTGTGGCTTGGAGGAAGGGGAAAGGGGCTCTGTCTTGGGGTGATTTCATAATGATGCTCTATTCCTGATTGTCTCCTTTATGCCCAGAAATGGCTGCTGTGGCTTTAAGGTGGGTCCAGAGGAGGGACACGAGCCTTTGGGGGGGGTCCTGCGTGTTCAAGACTCACTCCCCAGCATGCTGGGTGCTGCAGAGAGTGGCAGTTGCTCTGTTGCTTAGCTAACTCGATTTTTTAGTAGCTAAGCAAAAAGCTTCCTTTTTCTCCCCCACCCCACCACCTTTCCCCTGGAGAGCAGCCACAATCCTTCTGCAGGTGTTTTTTTTTAGTTTTTCTTGAACTGTTTCAGCTTGGTTTTGGTCCAAGATCAGATACTCGCCAAGGCCAGCAGTGAGGGCCACTCCAGCCAGCCTGAAACCTCAGCCAAAGATGGACCAACAAGGGAAAGGACACCAAAATCCATCAGCTTCGTCTGCTCTGAGGAGGGGACCAATGCCAGCCAACAGGCTCCCATCTGTTTTGCCTAAGCCACTGCGTGAATTTTTCCTCTTCCCAGAGACAAAAGCCAGCCACCATTTTGTCCCCTCTCTGCCATGCAGCCAGCCTGCTTATTTCTTCCCCTGGCATTCTGAGGTTTTCTTGTTGTGGTGTGGGTGGGGAGGCAAGGTTCTGAAAGTTCAATATCTAGCATTTGTTCAATTTTTTTTTCATGCTGTGCAGGCACTTTACTGGTTAATAAACAGGGGTTTTTTTACTTTCACTCGCTGGTATTCATTTTCCCATTGGCAAAAAGAATTACTGAAGCCATTCTCTTCAGAGAAGACACTCATTGAGTGTTTTTTCCTAAATCTGTCCCTAAACCAAGACAGACTGCCAGCGGCAGAGACGGGCAAAGTCTGCTGGGCTGATCCTGACACCTACACGCCCCCTCCCTCGAACCTGGGGACAGCAGAAGCTTCTTTCGGCCCCGGCCTCCTCATGCTGACAGCACAGCCCTGCCATGACATCGGTGATATGGAATCAAACACCACCACAAAGTCCAGCCCTCTTCTCCATAACCATGACACACTGCTGCCATACACTGACTGCTTGCACCTCCTATGCTTCACGTAAATAAAGAGCCAAAAGCAGTATTTGTGAGAGAAGATTTCTTCCATCTTCCCTCCTCATCTTGAGTACCCTCATTTTACATTGCAGAATCAAGCTGCGTTTTGGTAGTTCTCTTTTTTTCAAATTGGCTTCTGTATGAAACAGTTGTCTGGCTTCTACAGCCTAAGCAAAGTAATATACAGCAGAATGCTTAAGCTATTCTTCTAGAAAACATGAGATGTGATTTCAGTTCCAAATTCCTATTTCCCATTTCTCAAGTGAGTGCTGAAACATTAAGTTAATACATACAAGGCAAGTACCACCAAAATTTCACTCTTAAGCACCTCTGAAAAGAAAAGACTGGGATATCTGACTCTGAATAACAGCTTCATGTAAATGTAAACTCATAAGCCTTCTATCTTTTTATTGGTTTCCCTGAACACATTACCCCCAATCTCACAGCAGACATGAATCCACTTCTTGCATGTTCAAATATCCAGCCGTAAGTCAAGGTCTTCACATTCATTCACATCACCAGAAAGACTGAAAAATAATTAACCTCACTGCTTGCAAAATAGTGATAACTAGTCACCTATGAATTTTTCTAGTGGACTCCCATTTTTCTGTAGGATATTCAACGACAAAGTGAAAGTAATACACAAGAGCAGGGAATATAGAGAACACATCACTATGTTAGCTAGTTCAGTGTGCTAGTCTCAGGTAGGACAGAGGTAATTTTCTTGACATTACTGTGAAGGGCAGAGCCCAGAGCCTTGTGAGTGCTGTTCTTCTATACCTCACACATCATCCCTGGGGACACAGCTTCAGCTGGAAGAGGAGAACACCAAGTGGAACTGCTACCATTTTGTTCCTTTATTCCAGGGAAAGTGGATGGTGAGTGAAGCAGTGGAGTGGCTCCAGTCCTACAATAGGGTTGGTATGTCATTGTTTTTCTCATCTTGGGCTTGGGGAGGGAGTGTGGGTGCAGATATTTGTCCACCATTGTTTCTTTTTTTCACAACATGGGCACAAACACTTCCACTTGCCATTTTCTTCTTTGTCTCAGAAGATGCCTGACTCGGGCTGTGCTGCAATCACCTTGCATTAGACTCAGTGAGCATTTTTGCTTGCAATCACCCTCTTTTATACACTGTTGTTATCAGTATTGTTGCTGTTACTGTTTGTTTTCCTTATCGCTTTGATGGCTTTATTCAATAAATTTTTATTTGAACACGTAATCACCACCTTTATCCCTCTCTCACTGGAGGAGACAGAGACCAACTGTTTGGAGTTTAATTTCCAGTTGGTTTCAAAATACAACATTCAGGAATAATGATATACAAGTGGTAAAACTTCTGAAGGTTTTGTTTTCAGGGTTTGGGGTTTTTGTGCAAGAGGAGAGTGTTGTTTAAATGTTATACTTTTTATTCAAGTCTGTTGGATCCCATAAAAAGGTGCAGAAAATTATCATAAACAGAAAACTAGTAAGCTAACCTCAACAACAATCAGCAAACTACAAATGCAACTTTTAGAATAAAGTTTAACTTACGTCTCTCCTTTTTGAATAAACATTTTTAATGAGGAACATCTGTTAGTTGCAGTGGCTTTTCCACCAAGTCCAACAATTAGTGCTGTTAATACAGAACTTTTTCCACCTGTAATTGAAGCATTGAACTTGTTTTAAAGAGAAGACATTGTAATTTCTACGCCACCCATATTACAGTTTTTGACTTGTTATATATTCATGCATTAGAAGTCCAAATTCTGTCCTTATTGTACATATAAAATAACAATAATGCTAGTAAAGTATCTGCTATTTTCAAGAGTCTCCATTACTATATTTTATTCTATTTCAATTATTAAGCTGCTCTTATTCCAAACTACAGGTTTCACCTTTTTTCAGTTCTCCTTCCTATACCACTGGAGGACATGGGGAGGTGAGTGGCTGCATCATATTTAGTTGCTAAAAGGGATTAAATGACAACAATCCTTTCTAGCACCCACTGTGGGGCACAAAGGATTGATATAAGTGACCAGAGTATGTTAAAACAAATTTGCGCTAAGCATTCATGATATTAACTTAATAGCTGCTGATCACAATGCTGATTTATTTGCTCTCAGAGCTGCTGTGCTGGCTCTCAGAGTTGCATTATGTAACACCTTTCTCACAGCAGGCACTCCCTGCTTTGGTGTTTATCACCCTTGGCGCCTGGGCTAAGGCAATCATTTTGAAGTACTGTGCAACGCTGGCTGATAAGATATGACAGGGTAAATGACCTCATGTAATAAATGACACGACGGACCTGCCGGCCGCGGAACTCGCCGGGTCCGTGCGCTCGGCACCCCTCACCCTGGACTCGGGAGCCATCTAGCGACACAGGCTCACAATTGCACCTTCCGCCCTGCCGAGAGCCAGCCGGGAGAGGACACACCTCCTCCTCCTTCTCCAGGCCAACGCCAACAGCTTTTCAAAATGCTGGATGTCCTCGGGAAGCAGCATGTTGCTGAATGTGCTTTAGGTCTAGTTTAGCATTATGCAACTATCAGCAGTACTTCAACCCCCATTACAACCACAGTGGTTCCTCCAAACTCAGCAATGGGCACTGCAGGCACTTGGTCAATTATAGCACATTTAGTAATAAACATATAAATACATTTAGTTCAAATAAAAATGTATGCATTATTTAGCTATTAAAATATTTATATTCACATTATCTTTCGGAAAAAAGCTCCAATTTTAAGACCTAATTCACCAGCCTTTAACTACTGGGATAGACCTGTGTGGTACCTCATTTCAAAAGTGAATCTTTGTCCACACCTAAAAGATGGCCAGAAATTCTTTTTCAAATAAAAAACTACATCTTCTACATTACTAAGACATGTTCTTTGAAAAAGATTCTATGCAATTAATACTTACTTCCATTGGTTCCAACAACAAAATTGAGATTTGATCCGAACTGAAAAGGCCCCAGATTTGAATGGCACATGAAGTTCTTCAGCTGGATACTTTCAATTATCCCAACCTCACTGTCAGACTAAAGAACGAACAATTAAAACTCAAGTTATATATGCATTTTAATGAGATTAAGTTTGTACATTTTAAAGACAATGGGAATTAAAATGATAGTATGATATAAAACATTGGTTGTTACAAGCCACAAGGAAACAGAAGGGTTTCACGACACTGTGTAAAGTCACTTGCTATAGAGCAGCTATTTATTAAAATAAAAAAGCTACCAAAGCTGATCTCTCACACACAGTAACTTACAGTTCTCCCTATTACTAACTTACCATCAATACAACAAAAAATATTAAGGTAAAAGGTCCAAAACAGTTGGCTGACCAAATTAAAGCATGTTATTAAGGGCATTGTTTAAATGTCTTGTAAATACTGACAGGCTTGGGGCACCAACCACCTCTCTGGGACGCTGTATTGGTTTTGGGTTGTGGTAGCTGGGACAGGAAGCTACAGGGGTGGCTTCTGTGAGAACCTGACAGCAGCTTTCCCATGTCTGACAGAGCCATTGCCATTCCCCAGCCACCCTCAAGACTGATCTGCTGGCCAAGGCTGAGCTCATCAGCAACAGTGGAAGTGCCTCCAGGCTAAGAGCCAGGAAAGGGAAATTGCAATTACAGCAACTGCAGCCAGAGAAGAGAGGAGTGAGAACATGTGAGAGGAACAGCTCTGCAGACATCAAGGAGGGGCAGGAGGTCTTCCAGGCATCAGAGCAGACATCCACCTGCAGCCCATGGACAGCCCTGTGCTGGAGCAGGAGGATTCCCAAAGGAGGCTGTGACTCTATGGGAAGTCTACACTGGAGGAGGTTTGCTGGTAGGACTTGTGAGCCCACGGGAGACCCAGAGTGGAGCAGGCTGTTCCTGAGGGACTGAATCCTGTGGAAGGGATCCACACTGGAGAATTAGTGTGAGTCCTCCCTCTGAAGAGGAATGAGTGGCAGAGACAACATGTAAAGAACTGACCAAAGCCCCGCCATTCCCTGGCTGTTGGGCTGGAGGAAGAAGAAAATTGGGAGTGAAGAGGAGCCAAGGAGGGAAGGTATTTTAAGATTTGGGTTCATTTCTCATTATCTCTCAAATATTGAATTTGATTGTAAATAAATTCAGTTTAGGCTGAGGCTGAGGCTGTTTTGCCCATGACAGTCACTGGGGAGTGATCTCTCCCTGCCCTTATCTCAACCACAAGCATTTTGTTGTATTTTCTCTCCCCTGTCCAGGAAAAGAGGGCAGTGAAAGAGTGGTTTTGGTGCACACCTGGCACCCAGACAGGTTCAACCCTCCCAGAGAAGCCTGGTCCAGTGTCTTACCACTGGTAAAGAAATGTTTCCTAATGTCCAATCTAAATACACAGGACAGCATTTGCAATCTCAAAAATAATTTTTTTAAGTCTCTATCAAACTACATTTCAACTACTAAAAGAAAAACAGAAAATAATAATATTCCCGTTCTCGAGTTTCATTTCAATCAAAATTTGCATTTCAAACACTAGATCTTTTTCAGGTATCTGAAAGTGTCAGCAATGCAAAACAAACAAATATTTGGCACTTCTTTTAGTAAATAAATAGTTTTCCAAATATTTTTTCTGCCTTTTCTACAACCATAAATGAAACATTCCATAGTTCTATCCAAATCCATTTCCTTCATTTACTTCACAACTGCAGTAGTATTCTTTCTATTAAATCAGAATATTGTTATGTTTGACTCTTATAACTAGATGACCCAAAAGAAATAAGGTAAGAACAGCCTCATGCAGAAGTCCTCACCACAGACAGTATCCCTAGTTTCTTTTATCTTTGTTCTACTGATGCCTACATCCAAGACATATATTTCAACAGGCACAGAACTTTTCTTGTATCTTCATCTCTATGACTTTTTGTACTTACCGCCTGTGAAGGGGCACCACTACTAGCTGAGAATTCTAAAGTTTCTTCTTCATCAGACTCATCACTACGTATAGCTGTGTGTTCTTTTCTCTGCCTTTTCTGAGACCCAGGAGTTAGAACGCTTCCTTCCTTTCTCTTACTCATGAGTACTGAAAAATTAAAGTAATGAAATATTATAGGTTTCAGTTTTCTAGGTGACAACATACCCACAGGTGATAGCACAGAAATACCAAATTATTTACTTCAGTAAAACAAATATTAATATCACAGCAAACACTACAACAAACACTTTCCCAGAACTGAAACCTCGGTAATTTAAGGCTATGCTTGCTATGAAGGATTTGCATCAAAACAAAAGAAACACAGCTTCATTATTCTAATCAAGCTGAATAAATACAATCAACCTCAAAGCAGAATAAAGGGAAATTTAGATTCATAGCACTGTTCCCTGAGCTGTTTCTTACACTACAAGGTAGTGTAAGAAGTAAACAAAACTCTCCTAATAAAGGGTAACTAACTATTCACTCTATAAACAGGACACATGTATAAATTTCCTCTATAAATCAATAAATAATGCACAGACTTCTAGCACTAATAGGACTGGTCTGAAACAAATCTTGCAAAAGTAACAAGCTTTACTAAAACATACAAAAATCTCAGATTTTCTGTAATCATACGCTTATGGCATCATTTTTATTCCCCCAAAGTACACATTAATTCTTCATACCTACAGACCCAAAGACCTACACAAAATACAGAAGTTGACATACCTACCCTAAGTAGAAGCAAGGTGCTATTTGCACAAATGCAACACACAATCTTTTTATTTGTCAGCAATTAAGTCAGCTATGCTAAGTACCTAAAACAGGCCAAAACTAATATCAGCTGCAGAGTTTTCTGACATCAAAACTTTTCTGAAATGGATTATGCTCTCCTACTCAGCTTTGTTTGCTGGAATTTCATCTAGAGCTCCCCTGTAAGAAAGATGACAACCAACTCTAATGCACAGCACCAGTTCGAGGAAAATTCTGAGGCAATAAATGTACTTAACATTCACTCCTATAGAAAGATCACTGAATGACACATGGCCTAAGAATGAGTTGCTTATTTATAAAAACAAATTAATAAAAATACTGGTTTTGGTGTAGGAAAGAATGACCAGCATTAGAGACCTAGCATGCTCAAAGTTGGTAACACACTGGGGACTTGGAGGCCAGGAGACTTCTCGTCATGAATACAGGTGATGACAACAAGCAAGCACTTCCTTGTCCCTCAGGACAGATGGGATAATCCAGGAGAGAAGTCCTTCAGGTCAGCCTGACAGTCCCTGCCACGATCTCCTGAGGGAGGTGGCACATTCTGTGAGAAGGCTGGGTGGGTCAGCACAGCAGGTCCAGCTGTGCAGTGCACAGCCTCAGGATCCCCAGGGGCCCCCTTGTCAAAGCTCTCCCAGAGCTTCTCAGCAGTCTTGCTCCACATCCTCTCTGTTTTAAGATTAGTTACTTGGAGAATCTACAGAGAATTGAATTAAATAAAGACTGCTGAAGTACAACTTTAGTCACAAGAACTTGTATTACAATGGAGGGGAGCAGTCTTTCTTCCCTCTTCTCATTCTGTCTCATCCCTCTGAGAGCAACCAGCTCTTTACACAACAAAATAATAAATCACCTCAAGTCTTTCATTCTACCAAAAAGTAATGCAGGAAAGAACTTCTTTCTTTTAACATTAGTTAGGTGAGCTCCTAACCACTTCAGCATGCAGCTCTGTATGGGTGGGTGACTGTGGAGAACCAGAGGCTTCTCTGAGCAGTCTCCTTGCATCAGCCTCATGTTCTGGTCAAACTATTGCCTGAATTCAATTGATGAGAGGTCAGACAGCTTATACTTATATATATACACCATGTACCACAGAGAACAGCATTTATTGTAGGAGACATACAAGACATCAAAATTTTCTACATCATTAGAAAGACTTTCTAATTTCTAGTCTACATATTTGTTGGCTGTTTTATAAAATACAGTGCCTTATGATCCCCTCATTAATTTTATATGACACAGCATCTAAAAGATAAAGAAAAAAACAGTATCAATCCCTTTCCATTGTGTGGAATGAACAAAATTCAAAGCAAATGCAGAAATGCAATAAACTTGCCATCTGACACTCCTGCAATAACTTTGTATGGTAGGGATTTCTTTATCAAATATTAGAAGAGCAAGAGAAGAAGGAAGATGATGTTTATAACTGATGATGATTATTATTACAATTATTGTTATAATGATGATGCCCATGAAGTATTTACAGCAAAACTATCCATTTTATGTTATGTAGTTTAATATAACACACAAGGAAATCACGGAGCAAACACACTTCATGATTCAGCTTACATATCTTTTGTTATGCTACTCTGGCTTTACTACAAAAACATGCCTTCATGCCAGATTACTGAGACTAGGAATCAGTCACTTGGAAGCTCTTGGCATCCATCACCCAAATATGAAGACACAAACATAGCTTCAAATGTTTTAATTAATAACATCCAAACTAAAGATGAGGGCTCTGAGTTCCATTGCTATACAATTTGAACATTTAAGGAAAAGAGAGTATAAGAGCGAAACACAGAACAAAATAATCTCATGGAATCTAACTATGAGGAAAGCAAAAGACAGAACCATCTGCACCTCAAAACTGTTGAAGAGCTAGTATTGAAAACAAAACTTAACTGGAACTACAAGCAAACTCAGCCCCAGAAATTATGACAAATATCAGTGGATGCAGAACCTTCCCTGAGTAGAAAAAACCCAGAAGGAGCAAGAAACTGACCGCAACCACAATGAACCCATTAGTAAGACTTTACAAGAAACAAGGTTTTAAAAGGTACAGGAAGAAATAACCAAAATTTTAAAAAATAAATAAACAGAAAATGACATGTTTGGATTTTTTCTTCATGTGATCTTAGTATTTTTGACAAGAAAAGAATTTTTTTACATTAATTGCTGCCAAAACTCCTGCACCAAGGCACCCCTAATTTTCCACATTAAGTTTTTAATTGGAAAAAATGTTGCTTTCAATCTCTACACTACTTAGCCTAACTTTAACAACAGTTTGGGAATAACTATTCAAGGCAAAGGAAAAGCAGCTGATCCAAGCTATCTGAAGGTTATTAAAGTATGCAATGCTATACTGGAAACAAACTGGCAAAAAATACATCAATACATTTTAAAATATATAATATACTACTGAGAAGCCAACAAAGGACATTATTGACAAATGTTAACAAAAAGATTTTTTAATGGAACAGGTATCATACCTAAAATCTAAAGTATAAAAGATACTTTAGTATAGTACAATATTAAGTAAGACTATGTTAATGGAAACTTGTGATGACAAAGTCAAGTTAATAATTCAAACAAGAATCCAACAGTCATTCAGGAAGAGAAATCAAGAGTACTGATTTAATAAAAATAAACTTCACTATCATGCAATGTAAGAGTATACAGTTAGGTATAAAAACTGGATCTATAATTGGGAGCAAATCGGGAGCAAGACAGCTTCAATTATAAAATCAAAGGATCACTCCAAATTACAACAAGCAATTGTTATGAATATAACGAAAGCACAAAAGAAAAATGCAAGCCCCAGGGGCCCTCTATAAAATGACTGCTACATGTTAGAAAAGTACTTACCCTGTACACATCAAACGATAAGAAGGCAGAGGCTGCATCCACTGATATTCACCCATGTTTCAACTTAATCAATGGCCTATCTTTCCAAAGTATTCACTGCTATGGAGTTCCACAACTGCTTCCCTTTTCCCTGCCTGGCTGGTCACAGCTTGGCTCATCCAGGGCTGACACAACCAACCTGCTGTCACCAAACCCACATGAGTGCCTTTCTAGCAGCCCTCACTGGCCTGGTATCCACCTAAGGTAGGAAAGTATCCCACGTGTCTTGTGGGACATCCACTTTAAACACTCTGGACACAGCCCAGCTATAACCCTGCCTTCCACCCAGTTGGCAAAACAGAGGTAAAGCAAAGAAATCAGAACAGACCTACTGCAGGATGAACACAAGATATGGTAAGGAGAGGAAGAAAATAGTTGAGGTCTTTAGCTGATGTATAGCACACTACATTTAACAGTCACAAAAATACCAATAAAATTACAAATTAATATCCAAGCCATAGAACCAGTGAGGGGGATGCGGGGAGGGGGGGGAGGTTTCTAAGGGAATTTCAGTAACATTAACTTTGGGAGCGACAACTTGGTTTACAGCCGACAAATAGAAGTTAAAGGAAGGAATTACAGACAGCTGAAGTCAGAAGCGCAGTCTCAAGACACAGGAGTGGAGTGCTCTATATTTTTGGGACTATCTGAGCCAGATGTTCTATGTTAGACTGTATGTCTGACGTTGACAACTCCTCTCCTAACACATTTGCAGCCAGTACATAAGAAGCCTATACCATCCCATCAAACACTGGAGAAGCAGTGCCTGACCCAGAGGATCACAGAAAGGGTAAGGCTGGAAGTGAACACAGCATTCATAAGTTCATAGTGTTCACAGGTTGAACATCTGGTCCAACCTCCCTGCTTAAGCAGGGTCATCCCACAGCACATAGGACAGCATTGTGTCCAGGCAGTTTCTGAATATTTCCAGTAAGAAAGACTCCACAGCCTCTCCGGGAAATCTGTTCCAGTTCTCGTTCACCTGCACAGCAAAGATATTCCTCCTCGTGTTCGGGTGGAACATCCTGAACATCAGTTTCTGCCCGTTGCCTCCAGTCTTACTGCTCGGCACCACCAACGCGAGCCTGGTCCAGCCTCTTGACACCCTCCCTTTAAACATTTACACAGACTGAGGTCCCCCTTCAGCAGTCTTTTCCCGAAGTTGAACAGGTCCAACTCCCTCAGCCTTCTCCTCATAAGAGAGATGTTTCAGTCCAGTAATCATCTTTCACAGCCCTCCACTGGACCTCTACCTCTCTCTTGTGCTGAGGAGCCCAGAGCTGCACTGCGGCACATAGGGCAGCTCTGCCTCCTCTAGGGACAGCGAAAACGAAAGCGGGGCACAAATCCCCTCAAGTCCACCATTACCTGTTGCTTTTCTCAACATGGCACGACCCGGAAGGCTCCCCCATCCCCCAGAAAAGAGACACGGGTCCCTTGGCGGCCGGAACGCCCGTGCGGCCGCGGCTCCTGCTCTCCGCCGTCAGAGATGGGCACCCGAGGGAGCGCTCACACCCGGCGGGGCGCCCACGCTGGGCAGCGGGTGACAAACGCCAGCTCCGACCGCTAACGGGCCCCGCAGAGCGCCCTGCGCCAGGAGCGCGGCGCCAGGCCGCGGGCAGCGGGTGCAGCGGGAGGAGCGGCTGGCAGCGGTTGCCCCGCCTTGCGGCCGCCAGGCCGCCCACCCTCCCCGCTGTCCAGAGAGCGCGGCGCGCCCGGACAGCGCCCGCCGGCATCTTCGCCCGGCATGGGTCACCCGTCCCTCGTCTGCCCTCCCTCCGCCCCTCGCCCGCTCCGCGCCGCGTTACCTGGGACAGCTCCCGATGCCCGCACGGCGGGGCGGACGGCGCGGGACGGGCCGGAGCGGGCGGAAGAGCCGCCTCCGCGAGTGCGGCGCCTGCGCGCTCCGTATCCCGCGGGGCGCGTTTCCGTGCGCGCGCCATTTTCGGGTTTGGGGGGCGGAGCGCCCGCCGCTCCGGAGCCGCTCCGAGCGGGCCCTGCCGGGCTCTCACGGGGCCGTCACGGGTTCGGGCGGTGCCGCTGCTCCCCGCGGAGGCGGGGCCGCTGCCGGGCCGAGGCCGGGCAGCCCGGGGCGCCTCGGGCACGCCTGTTCCTGTGGGCGCGGCGGGGCGGGAGTTTCAAACGCTGCATGCGGGGAGCCCGCGCTCGGCTCGCCCTCAGCGCTCGGGGCTGCTTGTGCTCGTCCCGCTGGAAGGATCCGCAGGCGCTGAGGAGGAATCTGCAAATGCTGGAGCGCGCCGCTGCTGTCCTTCGGGTGCGCAGGTTTATTGGCAAAGCTGGGCTGGGGTAACGCAGAGAGAGGGAAAGTTGTTAAAAACGTCAGGGCTTTCGTGTTTCCTCTGCCGTGCCTTTCCTCCTTTTCAAAGGGTAAGACAAAATATATGCTTAGCTGTCTTTGCAAGTTACCTTGGTCATGTGTGAAAGTATCTCTGTATGAATTGAATTTCAGCGCTAAATGCTTTCTGTGGTTATTTTTAGGTAACTGGCATTTCTGGCAGTGTGAAAAAACTTAGTAGAGCAGAATGTAGTCTTAAAGCACTATATACAGCATAAAAGCTTTATAGGTTTAGCACATTCTGGCCTGAGGAGACATTGAGAAGGTTTTGTAGGTGAGTGGTTATTTTTACTGTTAACCATCTTCAGCGATTTCTAAGTATATGCAAATAAATCAAGTTCAGTCTTGCTTCTCTGGAAGATGCCATCTCTCTAGGGCTGGAGGCTTGTGATGAACGAAGCTGTTAAATAAAATCCGAGTAGACAGATCATTCATGTTAAGAGTAGTTGAGCTATTTGCACACTGAATTCAGATTTAAATATTTTATGAAATACACTTAAAAAAACCAAAGACTGATAGTGAAATAAACAGGGCCAGGAGACGATTTCTCCTTCTTAATGCTTTTATTAAAAGTGATCAGCTCAGGATTGGGCGGCTCGGCAGGGCTGCAGTCCCCGTCGTGTGTCCCAGGGCGACTCAGAGGAGGAGGATATGCGCAGCTCTGTCCACTGAGGGCAGAGCCGGGGGATCCAGCCCTCGTGGGAGCCTTTAGGGCGTGGTATCTCTGTCAGATGTTGTTTTTCTCAGCGCGGTCTCCCTCAGTCTCGGCGCTAGGGACGACTCCCATGGTCAGGGCGAGAGGGACTCCGCATCTCTGCAGGCTCAGCACTCGGCTCCTCACGTCCAGACATCACTTCAGTCTCTCAACTCTTAACTGGCTCGTTGTTTTTGGGGTTTTCTCTGTGCGTTTGGAGTCGGGGTCCCAAAAAGCATGCTGGTCCTAGAGTCACTTTGCATAACCCCCCCCACCCTCTCAGGTATCTTCACTATGCTGAGAAAAAAAACAGCCTCGGGGAAGGGCCATTACCTCGCCCTAGCCAGGGCTTTTACTAATACAAAAACAACTATTAACTACAAGGACCCGTGATTACCATGACAAAACACGCAGAACCTTGGCAGGGACAGTGATCTGGCTGCCTTTTTGTAACTTTTTCTCACAAAAAAAATATTAACTGAATTTTTGTTCATAACACTACCAGTCTTGCGGGCTTTCATAGCTCACTGTTAGATATATATTCAATGTGATGTGAAAAACTTAAGTCCTCAAATAGCTATACTTCATTACAATGAAAAAGTCGACTTTTTTTTTTTTTAGTTTTCAATTTTTATGCTTTTTCATTATTATTTGTAATTTAACCAGATGTAGAGTGTTTGCAGTGTATATGTCTTTCCTATTAAGTGCTATGTGGCACTCCATAATAATGTTTAGAAACTAACAGGTGTTTTTTTAAGAAATTGTATTGATGCAGACTAGCAGAAACCAAATTATAACACCAAAAAGACATCTCCCTTCTTTGTTAGATGTTCTCTCACTGAAGGTGAATTATTGTGCTTGTCTTTTGGGAAGGTTTGGATACTTCCCCTGTGCATCAGAGAAATTGATTATCCTGGACGTCAAGAAATTGTACTATGTAGCCATATGCTTCATTTGTATTTTTAACTAATTTTTATGTGCTTGATATACAACAGCAATAGCAATACTCTCTCTGCATAGAACTAAAATGAAGTTGAGTCATTGTAGTAGTTAAAGAAATGGATTAGAGGCCTGGACCTGGAATTGGATAGCTGCCTTGCTTTAAAACAGAATTAGAGTATGAAAGAATGCACCCTCCAAAGGCAGGCTCGCTGTCCTGACAGACTCTGGTGTTAATTGTGAGAGACCACACAGTGGCTTAGCTCCTCATGTGTCTTAAGCAGATCTCTGAGCACTGGTAGGTCATCTAGTCTGATTTATTCAAAGGAGCATTTTAATTTATTTGATTGTAGAGTAGTGTCAAAAGCAGAAAGAAATTCAAAACATTCCACATTGTCTCACATTTATTTTCTCTCTTCTCTACCAATATTAGAATATAAAAATCAAATGCAAACTTTGTACTGCAAGACAGTGCAGGAATAAATTGGTATTGTGAGGGTGGAAAGCAGAGTATGTGCTCAATGCCTTGGATAAAACTGGCAAGATGTGGAAACCAGAAGAATAATGAAAACAAGAAAATGAGTGCGGCGGAGTGTATTTGGCCACTAGGGCAATGTCCGGCTAGCAGAGGGTCAGCGGCCGACACCCAGCTGCGTAAGCTGCCAGCCCCCCTTGGCGTCTGTGGGCCTCGGGCTGGGCTGGCTTGCGGCCTGGTCTCGCAACAGAAGGGACGAGAAAAAGGAGTGGCACACTTGATGGGGGGGAAGGTCGGTTTATTGACAGCACTGGAGCACCAACCAGCAAAATGGCCTCGAACCGAGGGTGGAAAGGGGTTATAAAGGGGGAGGGCATGCAGAGGAGGGGATTACAGAGAGCCAATGGGGAAGGGTAAGGGGATGAACTTAGCATAACTGACATTAAAGGGGAAACCAATAGATACAGAGTAAAGGAGGGCCCCGGGACCACAGCCAACCACAACCCCCAGAGGGAAGAAGATTCTAGCAAGCTAGGAGGAGTGGGGGGTGATTGACTGGGCCCAGGGAGGAGAAAAAGTTTACTTATAAGGGGAAAAAGGGGAGGGGAAATTATATGACTTAAGTGACTTTTACAACCAAGGGCAGGGGTAACCATAGCAACGTAACGGACAATAGAGCTACTGGCGGGAAAACTGGGGAGGGCAGAACCATTTTACATAGAACGGGGGGAACAATACATAAAATGGGGGAGTAATACAAAAAACACACTACAACAACGGAGCTATTCCCCAGGCATCCAGGGCCAGAATAAAGTGCTGCTTCCTTCTTAATACTGCATTGGAGGTTTCTTCACAAATTTCAGTGCCAGTCACTGCTGATTCCCTGCCCAGAGAGGCTTCCATTAGCACTGGATTAAAAGCAGGACAGTATGGCAGCTGCATGTTAAGAATGTCTGCAGCCTGTGAGCAGCCACAGCAGCAATACCATCTTTTTTTTCCTGAACTCCAACCTGAATTTCCTAAGCCAGAATCTCTGGATGTTGACCCCTCTTGTATCATCTTGGAATGCAAGGAAAGTTTAAATTCTGTTGTCATTGTAAATATTCCTCAAATAGCTTTAAGCTACTTCTATTTTAATAGAAAATTTTAATGTGAATCCTACCTCAAATCAGGATGAAAGCTCCTTAAGAATTCTGTGGTTTGTATTTTTAATAAAACTTGGATTGTGTTTATGTAAGGGACACGTAAGACTTGGAAAGGAATAATTTTTTGTTTATTTTTTTTCTTTTCCCTGAGTTTGGTTTTATTTATGTTCAGCTTATTATTATATTTATTTATTATTCAGCTTATTCAGTAATGCAACTGTTCCATCCAAAGAAGGTATTTGGTAATAAGCCATCTGTGAACTGGAGTCACTACACTTAGAAGACTTGGAAGTGGACTTGGACTTCCAAGTGTTCTTGCCTCAAAAAAGTAGAACTTATAGTAGCAAATACATTTATCTTCTGAACCTCACAGTCATAATACTTCATTTCATGCCATATCCTGAAACTGTTGTATTTTCTTTGGTCTCCACAGTTAAAATCCACCTTCTGACAACAAGGAAGCAAAAACAATGGGAGTGACTTACCTGTGGCAAATCCTCGAGCCTGTGAGGCAACCTATCAACATAAGTAGTCTCAGAGGGAAAACACTTGCTGTTGATTTAAGTTTGTGGGTTTGTGAAGCACAGACTGTTAAAAAGATGGTTGGAGTAGTTGCCAAGCCACATCTCAGGTATCCATATAAATTATTTGAGCCAAATGTCTTGGAGCTGTATAATTTAAATATGTTACTTATTCAATAGAATTCTAAGAGTAGCTCTGATATGACTGGTGTTTTGATTCAGTTATCACTTATGCTACATATGTAAAGTGTTTTAAGTTAGTTCTAAGTAGACTCTCATGTTGACTTAAATATGCTTAAATCATTCTTCAGACATTTGAACAAACTTGAGGAATAGGGATATATTTTTAATTTAAATGAGTTATCTAAGGAATGAGCATGTCTAAGCATCTGTAACTTCAAAGCACTGTTCTCTGCAAACAGTGCTAATAATAATGAAAACACACACAAATTTTCATCAGTGCTTGTTGTTAATTACCAGTGTAGAATAC